AATACTGAAGCTAACTACAGTTTCAACCTCCCCAGGAATGCAACCTTTAACCAGCCAAAATGGAATTTCCTGGTCAACACTAGGAGATAATCTCCCATAGACCCTTTCTCCTTTAGGAGGGCAACCTTGCCTAAAGAATGCATTCCTTGCTAAAAAATTTCTTCTTAAAAACCTTTCCTTTTCCAAGCTCAGTGCAGCTCCCCTCTACTTGCTAAATGGGATACTGCCTGATTCATGAGTTATTTAATAAAGTCAATTAGATCCTCAAATTTACTCTGTTGAATTTTGTTTTTTAACAGTCAAGTTGGAAAACTCAGTTTCTCCCTCTGGGGTTTTGCTCTTGCCATTTCCTCTACTTATTCACTGAAACAGACATTTATTAAATACCAACTCTGTGCCAAACCCTGGGTAAGGACTGAGGGTACAAAGATGAGTAGAACAGTGCCAACCCTTAAGAAACTCACAAAACAAGTAGGGGATATAGAAATAGAAATAAATCACTAAGAAAATGTGGAGAGGACAGGAAGAGAAAGCACCTATTTTTGCCAAAGGTGTAAGGGCAGAGGTAGTGTTAGAAGTGAACAGAAGCTCAGCACACTAAGCAGAATGACAAGAAGTATACCCCAGGCAGCAGGAACAGGAAATGAGAAGGCAGAGAGGTTTGTAAGGCTGGAGATGATGCTAGAAAAATAGTAGGGACCTGATCAGGAAAGCCCTTAATTGGCATGCTTAAAAAATGTAGACTGTGTCCTACATTTTTTCATTCATTCCTCTAATAAACATTTATTGAGCACCCACTATGTGCCAGGTACTGCATTAAGTGCTCACCCCTCATTCATTGCTGATGAAAATGTAAAATGGTGCAGGTGCTTTGGCACCTTGAAAACATTATACTCAGTGGAAGAAGTCAGTTGCAAAAGACTATATATTGCATGATTCAATTTATATGAAATTTCTAGAATAGACAAATCTATAGAGACAAAGAGTAGATGAGTAGTTACCTAGGGTTGGGCTGAAGGAGTTGAGGGAAAATGGGGAGTGACTGTGAAAGAGAGTAATAAACATATTCTAAAATTTATTTTGGTTATGATCACACAACTCTGTGAATATATTAAGAGTGACTGAATTGTAAACTTAAATGTGTGAACTATGTATGTGACTTAGATCTCAATAAAGCTTTTAAAAAAGTAAAATAAACAACAGACATAATAAATAGGTTAGAAGAAGATATGCACTTTGGAAAAAAGAAAAAGAGCAGAATAAGGAGGATCAAGAAGGCTGGAGAGAGGATAGTTTATAGCATTTAGTTGTCAGAGTAGGCCTCAAGGAGAAAGCAACATCTGAAACAAAGATATACAGGAGAAGAAAGAGTTAACCATTCAGTGGATCTGAAGAGGAAGGGAGCAATTAGAAATATAAGAGGCAGATGCCCTAGGACCTAGTGATTAGATGGGGGAGTCCTAGGATGATTTCCATTTCAAATCCTTGAGATGCAAGCATGGTCAATATATATAGAAAATCCTGGGGGATCCCTGGGTGGCTCAGTGGTGCCTGCCTTCAGTCCAGGGCACGATCCTGGAGTCCCAGGATCGAGTCCTGCATCAGGCTCCCTGCATGGAGCCTGCTTCTCCCTCTGCCTGTGCCTCTGCCTCTCCCTCTCTGTGTCTCTCATGAATAAATAAATAAAATCTTTTTTAAAAAATTCCAATGGTATTTTTCACAGAAGTAGAAAAAACAATCCTAAAATTTTTAGGGAAGCAAAAGAGACCCTAATAGCCAAATTAATACTGAGAAAGAAGAACAAAGCTGGAGGCATCACACTTCCTGATTCCAAACTATACTACAAAGCTACAGTAATCAAAGAAGTATGTTACTGGCATAAAAACACAAAGACCAAGGAAACAGAATCAAGAGCCCAGAAACAAACCCACATATACACAGTCAACATATATATAGGATCCAAAAAGACAAGAAATAGTAAGTGTTGGAAAGGATGGGGAACAACCTGAAGGAAGCTGGAAAGAGAGAACAGAAAGCCTGAGTGAAGTCTCAGGGAGATGAGCAACACTGGGGCCGGGTTCTGCTTAGTGTCTTCACTGAGCTATGTCCTTAGGCTGGAGATGCTTGAGTCCAAACATGACTCTGCAGGGAACACCTACAGAGCCTTTTCTTTACCAACAGTGCAGTCATTGGCCTGTTCTGTCTTGGAGACTTGGTCCTGAGACTATCCACATAAACGACAGAGGTCATCTGGCCATTTCCCAGCCTGAGATCTCCTTCCTCTTCTCCCCATTTAGAGTGAGCTCTTCTCCCAGAGAAGGTTATTTATATTTTTGGGTGGGGCAATGTAAGTATAAGGAAAAAAGGGAAAAGCTAGCAGAAGAGGAAACAAAGGTATAAAAGGATGTAGGGAAGTGGGACATGTCCAGGGGCTCCAAGAAGAAGTAGAGATGGTCTAATCTCCACCTAAGCACCCACTAGGTTGTCCCTCCATTGTTCCTCTCTCACCATTACCAGTCTCCAGATCCCACCCTTCAGCCCAGGTCTTAGTGACAGGGCTCCTTTGAAGCCCCATGAATTATCTCTCCAGTTGTCTTGGAATCTAGGGCAACCACAGGGTCCCTAGCCACTGGCATGGATATTAAAATGTAAGTATCAACCGCGCCCCTGATTGGTTTCTCTACAACCAGGAAACCCAAAAGAAACTAGCAGCGATACTCATATCTATCCCTCAGTAAGGGAACCATAAAAACCTAATACAGATGTGAGAAGGAGGGAAGACTAGCAATTCTCAATGTTAGGCTCTCTGCTATGTGGGCTTCCCTACCTAGCCATTGTGCTTGCTGTGTTCTGAAGACTCTCACATCCCAACCTGGTGATGTTTCAAGCTTCCATGATGTTCCTCTTCAGCAACAGCGCAGAATGTATTCCATTTGTCAGAACATTTTTGGGGGGAGCCTGTCAGTTGATACCAGTGAGACTACCTGCTAATTCCCTGCCTACTTTTCCTTTTCTTCCTTTCTAAGAATCTCTCTGCATGAGTTCCCCTGCCCCCAATCCTAATTTTGTGGATACCATAAAGTCTTGAGCCTGGATTGTGAGACCAGATTACCTGGGTCCAAATTCGGGCTTTATCATTTACTTGTTTTGTGACCTTGGGTAAGTGAATTAACATCTCTATACCTGGATGCTCATTTTCAAAATGGGAAAACGACACCTCAGTGATTTGTTGAGAGTTAAATGAGTTAACACACATAAAACTGTATAAAATTATTAGATATTATTAGCACTATTTTGGTTGTTGTTTTATCGGTGCCATTCTACACCTTTCTCTATGAATCCTACCTCTTCCTTCAGACTTTAACAGAAGGAAATTTCACCATGAGAACTCAAACTACCTGGTGCATTCAGCTACCATTTTTTCACAGTACACGAAACTCCATGTGTTGCAACTTCCTTCATCATTTCTACCAGCCCTTTATCCCCATACTAGACAATGCCAGTTCACCCTTTCTTCAATCTCAAGCGGAGGACATATCTCTCTGCAATACGGTGCACGGCAAAATAAGGAGTAGCCTTTATTCCCTCCTTTCAAATCTTCAGACCTGGGTTTGTCTATAGACACCTATCAGTCTAGTCCCTGATGCTATGAGTGCGTCTATAATCACCACGTGGAATCATGGACTGATCCACCACAACATTCTTTCTTCCCATGTTGGACATACAGACTAGGTGGTGCTCAAGTCAATAACTGTTTATCATAATCAGATGTCACTGGGCACCCACCATAATGTTTTAACTGAAAAAAAAAAAGCTGACAATGTCAAGTGCTGACAAGAATATGGATCAATCATTTCCATTTAAAGAGCTGATTCAATCAATCTGAAAAAATGGTTTGTCCTTATTTACCAAAAATAAAGATCCACCTTCCCTATACTAATTGATTCCACTTTTAGGTACATTATAACAATGACAACAAAATATGTGCACATGTGCATAAGATGTGTTCATAGCAGCATTATCTGCAAGAGCCAAAAGCTGAAAACAACCAAATATGTAACAACAGTTAAGTAAGTTGAAATATGTTCATACAATGTAATGCTATATAATGACAAAAATGAACTACAGCTACACAATTAGATGTATGAATCTCACAAACTTAATACAAAGAGGCAAAACTAATCTATCTTGCTGCAAATCAGATCCCTGATTACCCATGCGGAGGTGGGTGGTGTGAAAGATGCAGCGAGGTTTTACGGGTTGTCTGTGGTGCTGGTAATGTTCTATTTCTTGGCCTGTGTGGCTTTAATAGAAGTATTAATTTTGTAAAAATTCACTGAATTGTCCACTTATGACCTGTATCTTTTTGACTCAAATTAGATAAATAAAATTACTTCTTTGATTAAAAAAAAAAGTCTGAAGAAAATTGCCTCTGCATTTGCTTATGAAATTCTTATCCACTTGATGAGATGAGCACTGGGTGTTACATGTTGGCAAATTGAATTTAAATAAAATATATTTTTAAAAATTCTTATCAAGAACAGCATGCATCTGTACACTATGCAAGACGCCACATAATAAATGCTGTCATGCATTTACTACCAGGAGAGACTTTGTCTTTTCTAAGTAAAGAGTATGCTACTGATTATTTTTAAACTACTTAGTTTTTCATATTATCTTAGAAGTTCAAAGCCAGGGATTCCTGGGTGGCGCAGCGGTTTAGCACCTGCCTTTGGCCCAGGGCGCGATCCTGGAGACCCGGGATCGAATCCCACGTCGGGCTCCCAGTGCATGGAGCCTGCTTCTCCCTCTGCCTCTCTCTCTCTCTCTGTGTGTGACTATCATAAATAAATAAAAATTAAAAAAAAATTTCAAAGCCAAATTTAATTAATGATCAATCAGAGTAATTCTCTTAGCCTTTGTCGACAGCACTTTTTCTTCTCTCTTCTATCACTTTAATTTTCTATTTCTTTTTTGTATTCCACTGGCTATTTATTTTTTAAAACATGGCACACTTCACGAATTTGCGTGTCATCCTTGTGCAGGGGCCATGCTAATCTTCCCTATCACTCCAATTTTAGTATGTGTGCTGCCAAAGCAAGCACTCAATTTGCATTTTAATATCCCTAAGTGTATATATGTCTTTCACTTTAGGTTACCTCAAACTCTTTTTGAAGATGCTGCATCTGTCCAAGAATAAAACTTTAAAAGATTCTCCAATCTCAGCCTCATTCCAAAAACTGACTTCACTTCTGCCAAGGGGAAAAAATAAGCAAATACTCCAACAACTGATGCCTTGGACAGGCATTTTTTTAATATCACACTTCATTTCATATCAGTATATAAGATTCCACAAAGAGAAAGGAGAAATGTTACCTGAAGAATTCTTGTTTGGGAATATATGTCAGATTTCAAATACTACTTGTTTAACTGCCTTTGAAATTTTACTTCTGTTTCCTACAGAATTAGAAATTTAACAAGTAGGAAAGAATAATGGGATGATTAAACCGTGTTTACTGGACAAGTGAGAAGAAAGAAAGAAAGAAAGAAAGAAAGAAAGAAAGAAAGAAAGAAAGAAAGAAAGAAAAAATAAATTTACCACTCCCACTACAAAGGGCTTGCTGGAAACGGGAGAAAGGGTGGCTTTGGGGTGGGGGAGTGGGGACTGGCTAAGGCAAGACCTAAACTAGACTGTCAAGCTTCAGCAACACAATTCTCTTGATTTAATTAGAGAAGGCTCCTTTTGCTTACCCACAGCTTCATGAACTTAACCTCACAGCTACCAGTATTAACTATGAAAGAGTTGATTTTCCCCACTGTCAAGAATCTTAATTTATAGAACATACCCAGGAGCTCTTATTTGCAAGCATAAAATCACCCCCAACTTTTTTTTCACCCCCAACTTTTAAACAATACTTTCCCAAACTCCAAAGGACTGAATATTTTTAAAATATTTTATTTATTTATTCATGAGAGACACACTGAGAGAGGCAGAGACACAGGCAGAGGGAGAAGCAGGCTCCCTACAGAGAGTCTGATGCAGAACTCGATCCCAGGACCCCGGGATCACAACCTGAGCCAAAGGCAGACGCTCAACCACTGAGCCACTCAGGTGCCCCAAGAGTAAAGATTTAAAAAGCAGAAAGAGGGATCCCTGGGTGGCGCAGCGGTTTGGCGCCTGCCTTTGGCCCAGGGCGCGATCCTGGAGACCCGGGATCGAATCCCACATCGGGCTCCCGGTGCATGGAGCCTGCTTCTCCCTCTGCCTGTGTCTCTGCCTCTCTCTCTCTCTCTCTCTCTCTCTGTGACTATCATAAATAAATAAATTTAAAAAAAATTTAAAAAGCAGAAAGAATAATGCTGATGAAATGTCTTTCAGGAATGAAAGCTGAAAGATCTTTGCAGAAAATTAAAAAATCATTATCAAGACCTCTCTCCACACAGACCTTATCTCCTCCCTGTCCCCAACCCAACACACACACACATATACACACACAGCTTAGGAAAAGTCTAGTCCCGGAGACTTGAGAGGACTTCCTGAATCCCCAGGGGAGTGGCCCCCTCCCACCCCAGTGCTGCCCACCCTCCACCTTAAACACTGCTTTCACAACGTCTCCCTCTTGTGGGAAGAGCCGGGGCCACTCCACTATTTGAGCTAAGCTTGCAGTTCTCAAGGATGACCAGTGTCATCCTTGCTCAGCTGGACACTCAGTGTCATCCTTGCTCAGCTGGATACGCAGTTCTCAAGGATGACCAGTGTCATCCTTGCTCATCTGTTACAACCAAAACAAAAAGCAGAAAGAAAAGAGCTGCCCTGGCTAACCAGAGCATTTCCCATACTCTTCAGTCCTCCATCCTCCAACTTAAGCTGGAATACTACAGTGCAAACCCCTGCTGGAGTAAGGAGTAAGGAGGCTGGCTAATTTTACCAGAGCCCACAAGCCTGCCAACCTGAGGTTAGCTGCTTCACACTTGGGATCTAAGCCTTCAAGTAGTCAGACACCTTTCCAAAGAGCTGCAGCTGCTTAGTCTCAGGCCCTGCAGCCAGGATATGTGCCTTTGTGCGTATGTGTGTGTGTGTGTGTGTGTGTGTGTGTGTTAATAACAGCTTTATTGAGACAAAGTTCACACACCATACAATTCACCCTTTCAAAGTATATAGTTTGGTAGGTTTTAGTATATTCACAGGGTATCTCATTTCAGAACACTTTCTTCACCCCAAAAAGAAACCCTGTACTCCTTAGCAGTCACCATTCTTTCTTACCCTAGCCCTAGGCAACCACTAGTCTACTTTCCACGTCCATGGATTTGCCTATTCTGGAAATGTCACGTACATGGAATTACACGATACATGGCCCTTTATGACTGGCTCCTTTCGTGTAGAATGGTTTCAAGCTTCTTCCACACAGTAGTGTGTATCAGTATGCAGTACTGTAATTTGTTAAGAAATATATGTTTGGTCTTTCAGATGACCAAAAACATATTTTTCATTAATGTTTGGTCTTCGTCAATGTTTCTGGCTCACAGGTCCCAAAGCCCTTAGAATTTCCTGAGGGATAGAGAGCAATGGGAGCATCTTTCCTTACAATGTTTGGCCTTTTCTCCTCAGTCCCTGAAATCACTTCAGAGTCAAGAAGATAAAGTGGGTATACTGTTATTCCTAACAACCCCCTTTCTACCACAACTGGGTTTATGTTAATGTGGTGATTTTTGAAAAGCACTTCATTGGCTGCCAGGGGAGCCAACCAGGAGTAGAAGGTTGGGATTTTTTCAGTCCCACTCCCAGATCTTCAGGGAGAAAGAAGGGGCCAGAGATCGTTTAATCACCAAAGGTCAACGATTTAATTGATTGTGCCTATATAATGAAGCTGCCATAAAACCCAAAAAGGGCAAGGTTCAGGGAGTTTCCAGGTTGGTGAACACACGTAGATTCGATTCAGGAAGAATCTGGAGAGGGCATGGAAGCTCCATGCCCTTTCCCACGTACCTTGCCTTATGTATCTCTTCATCTGGCTATTGATTCATATCCTTTGTAATAAATTGGTAATCTAGTGAGTAAATGGGTTTCCTGAGGTCTGTGAGCAGCTCTAGAAAATTAATCAAACCCAAGGAGCGATCTGTGGGACACTGATTTGTAGCCAGTTGGTCAGAAGCACGAGTGACAAGCTGGGCTTGCAATCAGCATCTGAAGCAGGGCAGTCTTAAGTGATTGAACCCTTAACCTACAGAATCTGATGCTACCTCCAGGTAGACAGTGTCGTAAAGGAGTTGAATTGTAGGACACCCAGCTAGTGTCTAAAGAATTGGTTTGGATATGTGGGAAACACTCTGTACCCACGTTGGAATGGGAATCAGCATCCTCTCACAACTCTCCTCCCTCGGCTCTTATGAAATCACCCTCTCCCAGCTCTTTTCTGCTTCTATTCCTATTCATTCGCATTGTCTTTTGCTGGCTCCTCTTCCTTTACCAAGTTTCTAAAGTTAGTATCTTTAAGAGTTCTATCCTGGCCTTTCTTCTCTTCTCATTGAACACATCCTCAGGAATCATCACCTTCAACTCTGATCTTCAGTCTGGATGATTCCTGAGATTTAGCTCCTCAGATCCAAATGCCTGCTAGACATCTTCCACTGGGTTCACTGATACATTCCATAAACAGAGTTCCTATTGTGAGCTAGGGATTAGAGGTGAGTAAGTAGACATGATATTTGAAATCTTAGAATTTACAATCTAAGCAGAAAAAACATTCAATATATAATCCCACAAATAAATATAATATTACATACTGATGGGAACTATGAAAGAAAAGCACAGGGTGCTTAGGGAGTATCACAGCAGTAACTCAACTTTCCAAAACTGTAATAATGATGCTTTGTTGCAATCTGGTCCTCATCATTTCCTTTTTCTTTTCTTTTTTTTTTTAAGATTTTTATTTTATTTATTTATTCATGAGAGAGAGAGAGAGGCAGAGACACAGGCAGAGGGAGAAGCAGGCTCCATGCAGGGAGCCCGACGTGGGACTCGATCCTGGGTCTCCAGGATCACGCCCTGGGCTGCAGGCAGCGCTAAACCGCTGCGCCACCGGGGCTGCCCTGGTCCTCCTCATTTTCATCTTATTTCCTATCCCTAAATCTAATCCACTCAACAAATGTAATGAGTTCACACTAGGTGCCAGACAACCCCCTTCTCTCCAGCTGACCAAGCCTGAAGCCTGAGAAATCATCCTAGACCACTTCCTCACTCCCCACACCCAATCAATATTAATTCTACCACCTTAAGTCAGTTATGTCCACCCAATTCCCTCCATCTACACTTTACTGTCTTAGTTCAGGCCCCAAGTATTTGTCACCTGGATTCCAGCAACAGTTTCTGGGGACTGCTCTGCCTCTGGTTGCTCTCTCCCCTTCTATCTGCCCTCCTCAGAGCTCCAGAATTTTTTTCTAAAACACAACTTTGTTTATGCCTCTCTCCTGCTTAAAAGACTTCCAAGGCTCCCCACTGTCTTCCCACCAATCCAAATTCCTGTGGAAGAACAAGGCTTGATGTGTTTCCATTTGAATCTGTCATCCTTTATTTTATGCAGTCTGCAAAGAGAAAGCTAGACCCAAAGAGTACGTAGCTTCATGACTAACATGAAAACCTACACAATATGCACACTGGCGGATTACTTATCAAAAAACTGATGGGTTAATTTACAGTTTAGATGAAAAAAATCAATTTTATATATGAAATCCAGTGTAGAGATTAAAAAAAAAAGCCTGCATGTTTAATATGTTATATCGGCTTTGTGGTCATCATTTGCTTTGTAGTTAGAAGAAGCATCCATGTGATATTAAACTAAAACTTTGCTCTTAAACAATTATGAAGGTTCTCTTTATTACTTTTCAGTAGTTCATGATAACAAGAGATAAAATCTATCATAATTAAACTTAAATATGACCTTGGCCACAACTAGATAAGTCTCTATTATGATCTTGCATCATCAGAACACATTCTCTAAACTTCTCTTTTTTACCTTATTAAAGAGGAAAACAACTGGTGCAGAGGTATTTCATTTTTTTTTAAATTTTTATTTATGGGACACCTGGATGGCTCAGCAGTTGATCGTCTGCCTTAGGCTCAGGGTGTGATCCCATCTGGGGACCGAGTCCCGCACTGGGCTCCCTGTGAGAAGCCTGCTTCTCCCTCTACCTAGGTCTCTACCTCTGTGTCTCTCGTGAATAAATAAAATCTTTTAAAAAAGAGGAAGAAGGGTAATGACGACTTCTCCTTTAAAATGTATTTATTTATTTGACAGAGGGAGAGAGAGCACAAGCAGGGGAAGCAGCAGAGGGAGAGGGAGAAGCAGGCTCTCCACTGAGCAGGGAGCCTAACTCTGGGGCTCGATCCCAAGACCCTGGGATCATGACCTGAGCCAAAGGCAGATGCTCAACCAACTGAGCCACTCAGGTGCCCCGAGTATTTCAAATGTTCAACTTAATTCATTTCAACAAGATTATTTACTCTAGGGACACCTGGATAGCTCAGCGGTTGAGCGTCTGCCTTCAGCTCAGGCCGTGATCCCGGAGTTCCGGGATCAAGTCCCACTTTGGGCTCCATGCATGGAGCCTGCTTCTCCCTCTGCCTGTCTCTGCCTCTTTCTCTCTGTGTCTCTCATGAATAAATAAAATAAAATCTTTAAGAAAAAAAAGATTATTTACTCTAAGACGGCTCATCAAATTTTAATATGATCAATATTTTATCTTAATTTTAACCAAAGCAGAATAAAAACAAAAGATAAATCATTTCTATTTCCATATGCAATGCTCTAGCTATGGCTTGCCTCTTAGCTCCACCTCTCATCAGGCCTTCCCTTCAAGTCTGAGCTCTGTCCATATGGAACTCAAGCAGTTTCTGGAAAGTGCCATGCCATTTACAATTTTGTCCCTGTGTTCCCTGTACCAATCCTACCCAATTCTTAAGGAAAATGCTGATACCTATAGACAGCTGGGTTATAAATACACCTATAACAATTACATTTTTTGATTTGTGTTTATTGCCCCTATTAGGATATAACTTTCTCAGAAACAAAAACTATGTCATTAATTTTTTTCGCCCTAGAATCTAGCTAAGTGCTCAACACAAATGTTCATTAACTATCTGTGGATCTATCAATCAAATAGATCATCCTTTATGTTAAAAACATCTGAAAGAACAAGAGTCGAACTAGAAAGGAAGTCATGAAGTAGGTGTCCAAGTCTGCAAATAATTTGCGGAGACCTAGGATTGATGGATTACCCAAAGAGGATGATGGTAGATGTATGTAGTAAAAGAAAACAGGATGGCAGTCGGTTTATGGCTTGAAGGACAAAGGGGTTTTGCACCTATGTGGATGAAAGCACAAGGGGAAACCAACTGAATGGCAATACTGCCTCCCAGTGGCACCTAAAATAACAGCCTCTATACCAGGGCACTTTTACAGAATAACAACTTTCTGATAGAGTGTGGTTGTGGCCTAAGAACTGTGCTAGGGATTTCTCACTTTATTTCACTTAATTCTGACAACAACTCCTTGTAGAGACACAACATGTAGCTTAGCAGTTAAATGCAGAGAGCTGTCTGGCTTTCCCAACATACTAGGTGGTGTGACCTCGGACCAAGAATTTAAGTTCTCTGCATATTTCCCCATCTATAAAATAGGATAATACGGGATATCCCTGGGTGGCGCAGCGGTTTGGCGCCTGCCTTTGGCCCAGGGCGCGATCCTGGAGACCCGGGATCCAATCCCATGTCGGGCTCCCGGTGCATGGAGCCTGCTTCTCCCTCTGCCTGTGTCTCTGCCTCTCTCTCTCTGTGTGTGTGTGTGTGACTATCATAAATAAAAATTAAAAAAAAAAGAAACTTAAAAAAATAGGATAATACTACTATTTACCACATAGGGTTCTTATGAGGGATAAATTTTTTTAAGTAGGCTCTATGTCGAGCGTGGCTCAGTGAGCCTGAACTCATGACCCTGAAATCAAGACCTGAACTGGGATCAAAATCAGACTCTCAATGGACTAAGCTATCCAGGTGCCCCAATTAAGTTCTTTTTTTTTTTTTTTTAACAATCCTATACATTACTCAGTGGTCACCGTGGTAAGTGTAGTCACCGTCTGTCTCCAAACAGTGTTATTACAATCTTATTCACTATTGGGACGCCTGGGTGGCTCAGTGGTTGAGCATCTGCCTTTGGCTCAGGGGGTGATCCTGGAGTCCTGGGATCAAGTCCTGCATCGGGCTCCCTGCATGGAGCCTGCTTCTCCCTCTGCCTGTGTCTCTGCCTCTCTCTCTCTCTCTCTCTCTGTATCTCTCATGAATAAATAAATAAAATACTTTTTAAAAATCTTATTCACTATATTCCCTATGTTGTACTTTTCATTTCTGTGACTTCTTTATTTTATAACTGAAGTTAATACTTCCTAATCCCCTTTATCCATTTCACCCATCCCCCTACCCACCTCACCTCCAGCAACCACTATTTGGTTTCTGTATTTAAGAGTCTGTTTTTTTTTTTTTGTTTGTCTTTTCATTTTGTTTCTTAGATTCCACATATGAGTTAAATAATAAGGTATTTGTCTTTCTCTGTCTCATTTATTTCACTTAACATAATACTCTCTAGGTCCGTTCCTGTTGTTGCAAATGTCAAGACCTCACTCTCTTTTATATTCCTCTGTGTGTGTGTGGGGGGGTGAGGTGATATCACATCTTTGTCCATTCATCTATTTTAGATACTTGGCTTGCCTACATATCTTTGCTACTGTAAATAATCTACAATAAACATAGGGGTGCACATATCTTTTCTAATTAGTGCTTCCATTTTCTTTGAGTAAATACCCAATCATAGAATTATTTGATCATAGGGTATTTCTATTTTTAGTTTTTTGAGGAAAGTCCATACTGTTTTCCACAGGGCCAGCACCAATTTACATTTCCACCAATAGTCCACAAGGGTTCTTTTTCCTCCACATCCTCACCAACACCTGTTATTTCTTGTCTTTTAAATTTTACCCATTCTGACAGGTGTAAGGGAGAAAAATAAATTCTCAAAAGGGTACTTGACAGCATAGCAAATACTATATAAATAGTAGCTATTATTATTCCCTTTTTCTGATGAGAAAATCAATGTTAAATAGAGTACACAGTAGTAAATTAAAAAAATATAACTTCCTTTGCTTTTTTCCCTTACATCTTAGCTCTCTCAGGTGTTGTGCTCCTTAGTGGTTCTGAAATTCAAACAGGGGATTCTCAAATATTCCAAAGAAGTCAGTTCCTAAAGGCAGCAATGCAAAAACTGAGAAACCTCCATTAAAAAGTCCAGAGGGAGGGGAAGCCTGGGTGGCTCAACGCTTGAGTGTCTGTCTTTGGCTCAGGTGGTGATCAGGAGTCCTGGGATTGAGTCCCATGTTGGGCTCCCCTCTGCCTCTTTCTGTGTGTCTCTTATGAGTTAATAAATAGAATATAAAAAAAAAAAGTCCAGAGAGAGACGGCTCTGGAAAAGAGCACTCCCCACGGCACTCTTGCCTTTCTTATTAGAGAGAAGATCTTCCCAGTAACAAAATTCACCCTACTCAAAACAAGATGCATAAGGATTGTGAAAATCAACTAAGTTTGTGCACGAAATTAGATTTCAAGGAATATTCAAATAAGTATGATCTGCCCAGAGTCCATTTTTGACCACTTTGCCCACAGAAGCTAAAAGACTGTGATCATTTTCGAGATTAAGCTAATAGAGACTCTATTCTCTCCTTGTTCTTCTACTGTTACTGCAAACATAAAATTCATGAAAATGATGGTTTTCAAGTAACATACTTTGTAATTATAGACTTCCCACCCCACTCCACATTTTCAATGAGGTGTATCTTTACCAGGTAAGATTGATTGGCAGATTGGCACGTTAGTAGCAGACTCCTTTCAAAGCTCTCCATGATTCTGCAAGATTCCTCTAATTCAGATTTTAGGATTCCTGGGTGTTCTATTTGAGAGACTGAGTATACAAACAGTGGCCATATGTAAAGACAGAAGTTTGAGAAACCCTGGCTGGCTCAGGTGGAAGAGCATGCAACTCAGGGTTGGGAGTTCAAGCCCTATGTTGGGTGTAGAGTTTACTTAAAAACAAAACCCTGACCTACAACCTGAAGAAGCCAACCCAGGAAACCAATCCCCCTATCTATAATAAACATCTCAGGAAGCCAGCCTGCTCTAAGTTAGACTTGCAGAAGTCAGATCACTGTCTGTAGTAATAGTCCAGGAAGCCAAACAATAGCCCCTATAACAACTGGCCCCAAATGGCCATCCCTTGATTAATAAATACCAGCTTCCCTAAATTTTGTGGCCCCTTCCAATTTAGGACCAACCAGATAAAGTCAGATATGTGTCCCTACTCCTGGATAGCCCAACTACAGCTTTCCCATTGCAAACAGCCTTGAGTCGAGGTATACCTGAAACCTCCCTTCCCCCCACTGTAAAGCTTTCCCTTGCCTCTGCCCGCCTTTGAGTCTTTGCCAAAAACTCCAGTGTCTGCAGCTGACCCCTTGCCATATAGCGAACTCTGAGTAAATAGGCTTTGATTTTCTTATTTGCTTGGTCTTCGTTTATTTCCACATATTAGACCTAGTAATTCTATGAAGAATTAATTTCCAAACCCTCTTTAAAAGATACTGGCTTACACTGTTCAAATGCGTTATTTCTGAAACATTCATAAAGTTAGCGGGGAACATCATTTCTTACTTCATCTTAGCACCTACGTCCAGAAGCCCAAGGGCTCTCACCTTTCCGCAGGGGATCCCTCCCGGAACGGAAGCGGCTTTCCTCTGCCCACCAGAGCAGCCGAGTTTAGCGAGGCAGCTGATTCGCTGAGATCCCGCCACGCCCAGGCCAACCCCCAAGAGGGAACTACAATTCCCAGAGGCCCTTGCAGAGGCCGGGGCGTGGGCACAGCGCGCCTGCGCAGTGGCCGAAGCCCGGGCTGTGTGCTTCCCGCCAATTCTTGCGGTAATCCTGCCCGGGTTGAGTCCCGTGCTCCATGGCGACGTTTGACCCGGCCGAGCTGCCCGAGCTGCTTAAGCTTTATTACCGGAGGCTTTTCCCCTACGCCCAGTACTACCGCTGGCTCAACTATGGCGGAGGTGATGGAAGCCGGGGGCGGAGAGGGCAGTGGTTCGGGGGGCGGTGAGGAGGGGGCTCTGGGAGGGCGCTTCCCGCTCGCCGGGCGTCCTGTCGCGCGCTCCCACCACCTCAGGGGTGTAAAGGGGCGGAGCGGGCGAGCGTAAGCAGCCTCGGCCCCTGCGCGGTCGGACTCCCGTCAGGGCCGCGCTCGCCGGCCGCCGTGCCTGAGCCCGGGCGACGACTGGGTCCGAGCCTCAGGCTGCAGGGGAGAGCTGCCGACTTCGCAGCTGAGCTTCTTGCGGCCCGCCGAGGAGCCGCGGGTGACATTGCACCTTTAAATATTTCTGCATCAAAAAAAAAATAATAAAATAAATAAATAAATATTTCTGCATCTTTTCCCCCATTTTTACTTTTCCTATCAGATGCAGGATGGTAAGCCCTTTCAAGTTAGGGACTAGGTCTTTTTTTTTTTTTTAACATGTAGCACAGTGTTGGGCACAGAGGGCTCATTAAAATTATCTTCTCATGGGTCAGAGTTATAATGCCCCGAGCTGAATAAAGTACCAAATTAACAAAACAAAACAAAAAGTACCAAATTAACTTTAAAATTGTATATTTATTTTGCAGTAATAAAGAATTACTTTCAACACCGTGAATTTTCATTCACATTGAAAGATGATATTTACATTCGCTACCAATCCTTCAGCAACCAGAGGGATCTGGAAAAGGAGATGCAGAAAATGAACCCATACAAGATTGATATAGGCGCGGTATATTCCCACAGGGTAAGAAGTCTTTTGTGTATTTTGTAGTTTTGTTTTTAAACCAAGAACAGGGCAGCCTGGGTGGCTCAGCGGTTTAGCACCTACCTCTGGCCCAGGGCCTGATCCTGGAATCCCGGGATCGAGTCCCACATCGGGCTCCCTGCATGGAGCCTGCTTCTCCCTCTGCCTGTGTCTCTGCCTCTTTCTCTCTCTCTCCCTGTGTCTCTCATGAATAAATAAAATCTTTAAAAATAAATAAGTAAAATAAACCAAGAATGGATTGGTACCCCCATTGTTCTGAGATTTAATTTTTAGAGCTTATTCTAGTGGAGCCCCACTTTAACTTTCTTGCAAGTAAATTGCAGTATTTTTTGTTCCTTGATACTCTACATTTGGAAGTGAGTTGGTTGTATTCTCACTCGGACAAAAATATTGAGTATCTGGCCGAAAGAGTAAATGAGGAAGTCAGCATGGTTTAAAGGACGGTATTTTTAAACAATTACATTGTCTTCCAGCATTGGAGGTGTTTTGTTTTAAGTAACTTCTTTATCCAATGTAACTCTGAGATCGACAGTCACCTACTCTACGGGCAGAGCCAGGCCAGCACCCCATGGAGTCTTGATTCCTCTGTTTCTTTCACACTCTACATCTGTTCCATTAGGAAATCCCTTTAGCTCTACTAAAATAGTATCTGAAATCCAACCACTGGTACTGGTGCTACTACCATTATCATCTTTCATCTGAATCATGGTAAAAACTTTCTAACAATTTGCCCCTATAAACTCTAAAATCTATTCTTCAGAGAGTAGCCAGAGCAGTCCTTTTATTTTATTTTTTTAAGATTTTATTTATTTATTCATGAGGCAGAGACACAGGCAGAGGGAGAAGCAGATTTACACAGGGAGCCCAACGTGGGACTCCATCCCAGGTCTCCAGGATCATGCCCTGAGCTGAAGGCGGCGCTAAACCGCCGAGCCACCAGGGCTGCCCAACAGCAGTCCTTTTATAGCAAGTCAGAATCTGTGATTCCTCTGCTCAAAACCATTCTCCAGTGGCTCCCCATTTCACACAGAGTAGAAGCCTCTCTCTCCCCCTCACTCCCTTCACTCCAGCCACACTAACCCTTGCTCAAGCAGTTTCCATTGCCTAATCCCATTTTCCCAGGTATCTTGTCGGTTCCTTCCCTCACCTCCTCAAGTCTTCACTCAGTGATGCCTACTGTAACCTGCCGCTCCTACCCATCGCTACTGATGTAGTCTAAATGCTAGAATAGTGCCTGGCAGAGAGAGTGCACCATAAATATTTGTTGAACGAGTGAACATACCAAAATTGCCATTCTTTCTCTCCTTAAAAACACACAAATGAGGGGGAGAAATACGCTCATGGGATAATAGCTTTTATATGGAGCTTTTTCTTTTCTTTCTTCCCAGGATTTATTTATTTATTTTAGAGAGAGAGTGCAGGTGTGCAAGCAGGGGGAGAGGCAAAGAATCTCAAGCCGACTTACTGGTAGAGCCCAACACAGAGCTGAATCCTCTGACCTTGAACTCATGACCTGAGCCAAAATGAGAAGTCAGACACTTAATGGACTGAGCCACCCAGGCGCCCCAGGCTTTTTTTTTTTTTTTAAGTGTTTCCTACTCCCATTATTTTCTGCTCCCCAGAGGCAACTACTTTCTTTTAGCTGATTCTTAAGGTATTTGCCCCTCGTGTGAAAATAGTATTTTTGTATTTCTTCTGTTTTCCATTTTAAGCATAATCTACTTGACCTTCTACTCTGGCAAGTGAGGATTTAGCTTTTTTTTCACCTCACCTTCCCATTTCTACATGTCCCAATATGTTAGATTAAAAATCTGGGTGGCCCAGTCAGTTAAGCATCTGCCTTTGGTTCCGGTCATGTTCCTGGGGTCCTGGAATCGAACCCCACATTGGGCTCCCTGCTCAGCAGGAAGTCTGCTTCCCCTCCCCCTCTGCACCTGCCGCCCCCCACTTGTATGCTCTCCCTCTCTCTCTCAAATAAATAAATAAAATATTTTTTAAAAATCAGAGTTAGATCACTAAGTCAACCCCAAATTTCTTGCCAATTGTCTAATCTCCTAATGTATTCAGACCCACCAGGTAGTTGGTCAGTTTCATCCCAAAGAAATTTCACTGGAGCTTTCCAACCTCCAAGCTGGACTGATTGCTCCCTCTAAGCCTCGTGGATAAATATGATCCTGTAATCACCCCAGTTTCCTTTCACCTCTCTCCTGTTTTGGGTCCTGTGTTGCCTGAATCCTTTGTTCTCTTTGTGGTTTACTTCCTGGTTTTGGTAGAGCACATCCTTCAGGAGTTTCCTGAGAAAAGGTGCATGGAAAAGAAAATACTTGACACTTTCTATATCTGGAAAATGTCTTCATTCTACCTTTAGGCTTAAGTAATGGTTGAGTTTGTAAATCAGTTTCCCCTAGTTTCCAGTGTTGCTGTTAAGACTATTGATGCAGAGGGATCCTTGGGTGGCGCAGCGGTTTGGCGCCTGCCTTTGGCCCAGGGCGCGATCCTGGAGACCCGGGATCGAATCCCACGTCGGGCTCCCGGTGCATGGAGCCTGCTTCTCCCTCTGCCTATGTCTCTGCCCTATGTCTCTGCCTCTCTCTTTCTCTCTGTGTGACTATCATAAATAAATAAAAGAAAAAAAAATAAAGTAACTATCTATATAACTGCATTTAAAAAAAAAAAAAAGACTACTGATGCAGGGCAGCCCCGGTGGCACAGCGGTTTAGCGCTGCCTGCAGCCTGGGGTGTAATCCTGGAGATCCAGGATCAAGTCCCACATCAGGTTTCCTGTATGGAGCTTGCCTCTCCCTTTGCCTGTGTCTCTGCCTCTCTCTCTCTCTCTGTCTCTATGAATAAATAAAATCTTTAAAAAAAAAAAAAGACTACTAATGCATTCTCATTTTTGTTCCACTATGTTGGATTTGAAAGCTCTTAGGATTTTCTACCTATCCCCCATCTCCCTAATGTTCTAAAATTTGACTATGATGTGCCTTGGTGTGCATGTTTTTACACCAATAGGTGTAAGTGCTAGATACTTGATGGACTCTTATAATCATGAACTCATGTCCTTCAATTCTAGGAAATTTTCTTTTTTCTCTTTTAAGATTTTATTTTGGCGACACCTGGGTGGCTCAGTGGTTGAGCATCTGCCTTCAGCCCAGGGAATGATCCTGGAGTTCAGGGACCGAGTCCAACATCGGGTTCCCTGCATGGAGCCTGCTCCCTCTGTGTATGTCTCTACCTCTCCGTGTCTCTCATGAATAAATAAATAAATCTTAAAAAAAAAAAAAGATTTTATTTTGAAGTAGTCTCTATACCCAATGTAGGGCTCAAACTTAAAACACAGAGATCGGGCAGTCTGGGTGGCCCAGTAGTTTAGCGCTGCCTTTGGCCCGGGGTGTGATCCTGAAGACCTGGGATCGAGTCCCATGTTGGGCTCCCTGCATGGGGCCTGCTTCTGTCTCTACCTGTGTCTCTGCATCTTTCTCTCTATGTGTCTCTCATGAATAAATAAGTAAAATCTTTAAAAAAAAAAAACAAAACAGGGGATCCCTGGGTGGCGCAGCGGTTTGGCGCCTGCCTTTGGCCCAGGGCGCGATCCTGGAGACCCGGGATCGAATCCCACGTCGGGCTCCCGGTGTATGGAGCCTGCTTCTCCCTCTGCCTGTGTTTCTGCCTCTCTTTCTCTCACTGTGTGCCTATCATAAATAAATAAAAAAAAAACAAAAAAAAAATTTAAAAAAAAAAATAAAAAAATTAAAAAAAAAACAAAACAAAACACAGAGATCAATAGTCTCATGCTCTACTGACTGAGCCATCCAGGCACCCCCTTTTTTTTTTTCTTAAATACAATTTTTTTTTATCTATAATTTTTCTCTGATGTCTCTAGAAATCCTTAAGTCAGATGTTATGTGTCTTGGACTGATCCACTACTTCTTTTTTAATCGTATTTTCTATTTTTTTGTCCTTTTGCTCTACTTTCTGGGGAATGTCCATTGAGGTTTTCATTTCTGCTATTTTAATTTCCAATAACTTTTTTTAGAGCATCCAGTACTTTTTTTCATTGATATGTCATATCTTTCTGAGGATATCAATGATAGTTTAAGTTTTTGTTATTCAGTGTTTTCTCAAAGTTGCTTTTTTTTCCCCATTTTAACTCCTCTTTCATATTAGAGGCTTTCCTCAAGTCTGGTAATTTCTTGCATGTTGTTTATATTCAAAAATAGAGTACTAAGGACGCCTGGGTGGCTCAGCAGTTGCGCATCTGTCTTCAGCTCGGTGTAGTCCAGGTTCAGGGATAAAGTCCTCTGTTGGGCTCCTTGCAGGGGGCCTGCTTCTCCCCTGCCTGTGTCTCTGCCTCTTTCTCTCTCTCTCTCTCTCTCTCTGTCTCTCATGAATAAATAAATAAAATGTTTTTTAAATAAAGTACTAAAAAAGCTGATTGGAAGATGTGTATACATGGCTGAGATTTATTACAGAGTGATCTGACTGGACCAATTTTTGGGAAGCAAGTTCTGATGTTAATTTCTCTAGATCTTTGCTTAAATGAAAACTCCACTAGCACAGAGATGTTTGTTTTGATCACTCATCTTCTATTCCTAATGCCTGACACTCCTGATCAGATTCTTCAGAGAGGAATCTTCTGGTCTCCTGCCTGGGGTGGCAGTGATAGGATATAGAAGTGGAGAAGAGCACTGGGTCTCAGCTTTCCATATGTAAATACCCACTTAATCCCCTGTATATCAGTACAATACACTTTCTTCAACAGTACCTGTTGTTCCTGCCTCCCATCCCAATCCAAAGAGACCCACTGTTTGAGGTTCTCCCGATAATAATTAGGTATCTGCCAGGAAACTGAAAGTGCAGTCACCTAGCTCTGCAGAGTAATGGAGGAATCTGAGGAACTAACTGCTTCATAGATTTTTAACTGATAATATTTTTAATAATAGCTTCACCTCTACCACACAAACACACACTCTTACTCTCTCACTCTAGAGATACCTGTTGTCACCTGAATTTTGGGGGGATGCTGAGGTGTAATTTCCTTATTGAGAGCTTAAGATTCAGCTCTTATGGGTATCCTTATAAAAATTGTGGTAATATTTTCTCCTCTCTGGAACTTTTTGATTTTTAAAAAGATTTTTTCCTCTGGTCCTTTTTAAAAAGATTTATGCCTTTCTTAAAACCTTTACTATCGGGGCAGCCCCAGTGGCACAGCGGTTTGGCGCCACCTGCAGCCTGGGGTGTGATCCTGGAGACCCGGGATCGAGTCCCACATTGGGTTCCCTGCGTGGAGCCTGCTTCTCCCTCTGCCTGTGTCTCTGCCCCTCTCTCTCTCTCTCTGTGTCTATGAATAAATAAATAAAATCTTAAAAAAAAAAAAACCTTACTATCATTTTTGTGCAGGTTTGGAAAGACCAAGATAGGTATCTGTAGCCTGCTTTCTATACCTGGTGGCCCATAGCCTCAAAGGAGGCTACTTACAGCTTGAGCCAAAGGCTAAGTTCAAACTAATTGAGACCTTTTGAATTATTGAAATATTTTAAATACATTTTTATTACTTATATGTCCAATAATAATTAAAGGTCTTTAAGACAGCTTACAATAGGGCATTATTTGTATGTGCTTTTCCTAATCAGAAACCTAAAAAAGCTTTATTATGATCTCTTACTGATTAATAAATATTTATTATTCAAGGTTACATGTCAATTATATCAGTAGAACTAGAAAAAAAAACAAATATCTATGGTAATATATATTTATCAAAACCTGTTTTAGGTAGATGAAATTTACACTGTCATCAATTCTGGATGTATAGAATCCGAATTAATGAATTTTAACTGATAGAGAGTTGGCATTATAGTATGGTTTCTTCATTGTTCTTCGGCCACTTTTTTTTTTATGGGGGTAGAAAATAGCATAATTGGCAGCATGACAGCTCTTATAGAAAATGATTGATATTTTCTACTTGTAGCCCAATCAACACAATACAGTAAAGCTGGGAGCTTTCCAGGCTCAGGAAAAAGAACTGGTGTTTGACATTGACATGACAGACTATGATGATGTGAGGAGATGTTGTAGGTAAGTGCTGCATGCCTTGCTGGTAGGGTGGGTGATATCACTGACAATGAGTAATGATTCCTCTGCTCCAGTTCTGCAGACATATGTTCTAAGTGCTGGACCCTCATGACGATGGCCATACGCATAATCGACCGAGCACTGAAGGGCAAGTATTGGCAGTGGGGTCAAATGCAATAATCTGTTTTCCTGTGAATATTTATCTGTCTATACCATTTTATAATCAAATCTCATAGATTTCTAACATGTTTCCTTGAAACATATGGCCAGAAAATAAGAGATTTTTAGAATAAAGTTGTAGTTGAAACTCTAATAAAGCTATTGATCAAACCACTGAGTTTCTTCCCAATTCAGTCATCTGTCGAGCAGCTGTATGTGCTACAAACTGTCCTAGATGAGGGAAATATGAAAGATGATGATTACCTCAAGTAGGTTATACAGTCTAGGAAGGAGACAAAATTGAGGATTACATTTATGTTAAGTAATACACACAGGGTGCCCTGGAGATATAGAACAGCAGGAGTACATACAGAAATGGAAAGAGACTGCATCAGAAAAGGTAATGACAGGGGCAACTGAATAGCTCAGTGATTGAGCATCTACTTTTGGCTCAGGTCATGATCCCAGGGTCCTGGGATCTAGTCCTGCACCAGCTCTCTACAGGGAGCCTGCTTCTCCGTCTGCCTATGTCTCTGCCTCTCTCTCTCTCTCTGTGTGTGTGTCTCTCATGAATAAATAAATAAAATCTTTAAAAAAAAAATGAAAAGGTGATGATAATAATGTTAAAAATAGCTGACTCTCAGCACACCTGGGTAGCTCAGTTGGTTAAGCCTCTAACTCTTGATTTCAGCCCAGGTCATGATCTCAGGGTCCTGGGATCTAGCCCCATGTTGGGCTTCATGCTGGGTGTGGAGCCGGCTTAGGATTCTCTCTCCCTCTGCCCCTCCCTGCCCCTGTACACACATGCTCTCTCTCTCTCTCTCTGAAAAAATAAATAAATAAATAAGCTAACTCTATATAGGCTGTGTATCGTGTACAGGCACTGTTCTAAACACTTTAAATTTATTAACTTTTTTAATGTCCCTAGACAGGGTTTGTTTTTTTTTTTTAAGATTTTATTTATTTGAGAGAGAACACAAGTTGGGGTCGGGGCAGAGGGAGGAGAAAAAGTAGACTCCCTGCTGAGCAGGGAGCCTGATGCTGGGCTCAATCCCAGGACCCTAGGATCATGACCTGAGCCGAATGCAATCACTTAACACACTAAGCCAACCAGGCGTCCCCCTAGACATGGTCTTAAATGATAAATGGCAATTGGTCAAGGAGAAAAATGGAAATGCTGGAGTGTGAAGAAATTCTTGGCAGAGAGAGGAGACCACGATACGTATAGACATGAAGGCAAGACCATAGACACAGGAAACTACATGTAATTTGGTATAGTTAAGGTGAGTACATGTGAATAAGAGGTAAAAATGAAACCAAGGAAGTAAGCAAGAACCAGTTTATTAAAAAAAAAAAAAAAAAAAAGAACCAGTTTATTTATAGATTTTTAAAACTTATTTCTCCCCTCCTCAGAGGACTTTGGATTTAAGCATCGTCTCTGGGTATATTCTGGAAGGAGAGGTGTTCATTGTTGGGTCTGTGATGAATCAGTTAGAAAATTGTCCTCTGCAGTACGTTCTGGGATAGTTGAGTATTTGAGTCTTGTAAAGGTAAGATCTCAATGATATTTTACATTTTTTTGTTTGCCAGATATTTCCAAGCCTGAAATGTTTAGTGAAAAAAATGAAACTATCTTTTATATGCATATTCCAGAGTAGATGATCTTACCAGCAGATCAAATAATCATAGTAGCTACATTTTCTAAGATCTTTCATATTTTACTGTAAATATCCTCCTTTGTAACAAAAGGAAAAAATTGCTTTTCTAGTTCAATTATATCAAGTGAAGTTAACCCAGAAAGTTACAGGTATTGAAACTATATAAAATAGCATGTAAATTTCTGTATTTTGACAATTTAATCATATCTGTAGAACACATTAAAGAAATTTTTTTAGTATTTCATTTGTGTCATATATATGAAGGTTTTTTTTGATGGTTTATTTTTCAGGGTGGTCAGGACGTTAAAAAGAAAGTCCACCTAAGTGAAAAAATTCACCCTTTTGTCAGGTCTGTTGGGAAAGACTCCATGCAGTTCTTGTCTGATTTACCTACACGTGCTTTTACAGTTACACTATTACCAATTTTCTCTATTGGGGTAGCATTTTATAGATAATAATAGCAAGAGTTAATTGAATGGCTGTTTTATGCTGCAGTATGCATGACATGCTTTACAAATGTTCTCATTGCCATTAACAATAACTTCATGAGGGACATGGTGATATCTCCATTTATAGATGAAGAAAGTGGGATTTAGAAAGATTATATAATTTGTTTGGCACCACACAAGTAATTGTTAAATTCAGGATTCATGTCTTGGTCTGCCTAATTTCAAAACTCATAGTCTTTCCACTAAATTCATTACTTCTTTAGGTGAAAAGAGCATCGTATTAAGAGTAAGAATCTCTATTCTGTGGCTTTCTAAGACCATGATAAAATATTAGAGCCTCTATTTCCATATATATATATATATATATATATATATATATATATATATATATGTTGGGGAAAATAACATTTGCTCCATGTATCTCAGAGTTGTGGCACAGATTAAATAAACAATAGGTGTGACGTCTATTTGCAAATTGCTAAGCACTACATAATTGTTGAGGTGTTAAAGCAAGTACCTCAGTAGAAACTATTCTGTTTCTCAGTAGAAGCTATTCAGATTCTGTCCCATACTGTGCTACTGATGTATTATTATGTTGTCCTGGCCTGGTTGCTTTCTACCTTATTACATATTTATGATGCTATTAACCTTTTAATTTGTGGAGTTTTAGAAGTAAACATTTCTTGAATCTATTCTAAGCCAGGTACTGTACCAGGTTGTTCCCCCTTAGAATGTCTTAGTTAGCTCTTATGATCCTGTGAAGGTGTATTATTCCCACGTTACATAGCTAATTTCTGTTTGTGTTTTTCTTATTAGACTAGTATATGCTCATTAAAAAAATTCAATAGAAGTAAGCACTAGTCTCCCAAATGGCAAGAAAAACTACGCAATGTACATGTTGCCAATAGTATTAGGACTGTGCTATTATTATTCCTACAGCAAATCTATAAACATAATAAAAAAATACTTTGAAGAATATGCCTTAGTTGATCAAGATATTCTTGAAAATAAAGAAACCTGGGATAAAATTTTAGCCCTTGTTCCTGAAAATATCCTTTCTCAAGGCCATTTCTATGTCAGCTATATGTATTGATTTATGATATTATGTGTTCTGCCTACATATTCTCATATATTTACTCTTATAAGTTTAATCTTTTTACACAAAACTGGTTTTCTGCATTCTAGTCTGGAATACAATAAGAAATGAGGCCATTCTGGAAATAAATTTCATTTTTGGAAGTTGATCCTCATAGAATTAATAGATACTTAAAGAATGCAGAATCATTTAGTCAAAATATGTACAGATCAGGGAAGGCTTTTATATTAAACCATATAGTTATTTTGGCATTATTTCTGTCATATCAGTATATATTTTTACAGGGGAATGTTTTAAGAATATGTGTTTAATATTTGCATTTTAGAGGGCAGCCCAGGTGGCTCAGCGGTTTAGCGCCACCTTCAGCTCCGGGCCTGATCCTGGAGACCCAGATCGAGTCCCATGTCAGGCTCCCTGCGTGGAGCCTGCTTCTCCCTCTGCCTGTGTCTCTGCCTCTCTCTCTCTCTCTCTCTCTCTCTCTCTCTGTCTCTCTGTCTCTCTGTCTGTCTCTCTGTGTGTCCCTCATGAATAAATAAATAAAATCTTAAAATTTGCATTTTAGAAAACCATAATTACTTTCTAATAAACTTTTGAAATCCTTGTGGTAATACATACTGAAAACAAGTTGTTCGTTGATGTGCCCTAAATGAGTGTTTCCTTAATGACTCATTACCAATTCATGAGAAACTTCAACAAAACTTCCAGAAGCATCACAATTCACTTCAGCGTTGGGAGTGTTTGAAGAAAGCCATCAGCTCTCAGGTATATTCCATTGAAATCTCTGTTATAAATATAATAATGTAATTCTTAATTAAATTCTGATTGTTTTGCTTAGTAAGTTAAGTTAAAGAGCATTGGAAGCCATTTTTTTAAAGAAATCCTCAAAATTCCTAACTGATCCTCACACTAGACTTGCCTCTGCTTTTAGGATATCAAAAATGACAAATGTGGGCACTGGCTTGAATTGGAAATCATGCTTCAGTACTGTTTTCCACGGCTGGATATCAATGTTAGCAAAGGAATCAATCATTTATTGAAGAGCCCTTTTAGTGTTCATCCTAAAACAGGTACAGTATAAAGAAAGTAAAGAAAACTAGAAGAAAAATGAGTTCTTTTTGTTTTAGTAAGCATGTCACTCAGTATGAATATATTATGATGTCTGAGATATATGAAAAATAGAAAGACTATTAGGTAATACCTAAATTATTTTTTAATTGTTGATTAGTAGCTACCAGATGAGTTTTCACTACATAAATAATTTTCATCTGGGTTTCTGAGGTTTAGTATTGGAATTATAGAGGAACTTAGAAATCACAGAACAACAGCTGTTGTACAGCTGAGAAAACAGTTGTCCAAGAGGTTAATGTGACTTGTCTTAAAATAAATTGTGTCAGAGCTAGGAACAGAATTCAGTTCTTAAAACTCAAAGTTCTGTGCTTTGCCCACTATGCCTCCTCCCTCAGTTCTTTTTCCATAGTTTTAGCGTTCTTCCTTTACATTTCTCTTAAATATGTTTTGATAGACTGAAACTGACTTTAAAATAAATATAAAAGGTGCTATATTGACATAAACTTTGCATCATCCAGCCAGGAAACATACATAGTTGTATATAGTTGTCCTTTTTAGCATCAATAATCCAACTCTGTCACTCGGGTGGGATGTTAGGCAAATTTCTCTCTGTGCCTTGGTTTTCTCATCTGTAAATGGAGATAATATAGTACCTACCTCCATGGATTTTTATGAAGATCTAAAATGTAAAGTGCTCGGAAAAAGTGTCACACATTCAATTCTCCCAACTTGCCTAGTTTCCTTTCTTTAATGATCTGTAATGATTCTCTAGTCCATATATTAGAATAAGCCCCTTTCCAAACTTATCAACTATGTGTTTTCAACTTCTTTTGGTAATAAGCTTAATATTTCTTTTTTTTAAATGTTTATTTAAATTCAATTAATTAACATGTATATGGTTTCAGAGTAGAGTTCAGTGGTTCATAAATTCCATATAACACCTAGTGCTCATTATATATTTGTAATTTTTTTTTAAAGATTTTATTTATTTATTCATGAGAGACAGAGAGAGGATGAGAGGCAGAGACACAGGCAGAGGGAGAAGCAGGCTGTCTGCAGGAGCCTGATGTGGGACTCGATCCTTGGAATCAGGCCCTGGTCAAAGGCAGACGCTAAACCGCTGAGCCATCCAGGCGTCCCTATATTTATTAATATTAAACCTAATTCTAGAGCTTTAGTGGGGGGATCCCTGGGTGGTGCAGTGGTTTAGTGCCTGCCTTTGGCCCAGGGCGCGATCCTGGAGACCCGGGATCCAATCCCATGTCGGGCTCCCGGTGCATGGAGCCTGCTTCTCCCTCTGCCTGTGTCTCTGCCTCTCTCTCACTGTGTGTCTATCATAAATAAAGTTTAAAATTAAAAAAAAAAATAGAGCTTTAGTGGGTATCCCCTTATTCTAATATCCAGGGTTTGGGTAAATAATGATGTTCGTATGTATGTACATTTTGATTATATCCTTTTCCCATTAAGCAGCTGCAGTCTTCAAGCAGCAACTCTCAATTCTCCTAATTATTTTACTTGCTATTTACTTGGCATTTTTTAGATTCATTTTCTCATTTGTGCGATGTGATGAATTTTATGAGGTGTTCCCAGGTGTGGATATTATGAAATGATAGTATAATGCTGTCGACTTTATTTCTAAAATGCTTTCCAAAGATGCCCAACATATAGGTGTCTGTTCTGGTCTCACCAAATAAACCAAGTTAATGAAATGAACTATAACTATGTTATTTCATTTTCAGGACTCACTAGTTTGATATCATTCTGTACTTATATATAAAAGGATATTAGGAGGAAGGAGATAGAAATAAAAGTAGAGGGGGATCCCTGGGTGGCGCAGCGGTTTGGCGCCTACCTTTGGCCCAGGGCGCGATCCTGGAGACCTAGGATCGAATCCCACGTCGGGCTCCCGGTGCATGGAGCCTGCTTCTCCCTCTGTCTATGTCTCTGTGCCTCTCTCTCTCTCTCTCTCTGTGACTATCATAAATAAATAAAAATTAAAAAAAAAAAAAAGAAATAAAAGTAGAGGGATGCCTGGGTGGCTCAGTGGTTGAGCATCTGCCTTTGGCTTGGGTCATGGTCCTGGGGTCCTAGGATCAAGTCCTGCACCAGGCTGCCTGCAGGGAGCCTGCTTCTCCTTCTGCCTATGTCTCTGCCTCTCTGTGTCTCTCATTAATATAAATAGATAGATGATTGATAGATAGATAGATAGATAGATAGATAGATAGATAGATAGATAAGAGCACTAGGTAATAGCTCAACAGTCTTTCATACCTATTTTTTAAGAGAAATTAAAAGCACGGCTAACGTGTAAGTAATTTCTAACTATTGTTTTTTTAACAGATGAGTCTAACCCTTTTTCTAAGCCTTAAAGTTTAGCCAAAATAACACATAAGATTGTATTTTACAATCATCAATTTATAACTTTTGGTTCTTACAGGTCGAATTTCTGTGCCTATTGATTTACAGAAAGTAGATCAGTTTGATCCATTTACTGTTCCAACCATAAGGTATGTTCTAGATTATTGATCTTTTTTTTTTTTTTAATTTGTGATTGTTACTCTAAATTTGAAGTAGATTGAATTAGATCCCTTCCAGAGAGGCAGCTGCTCTGAGGCTATATGATGATGCCCTAGTAGGGCAACATTTCCTAGTGAGTTCCACAGAACACAAGCTGCTCTTCTCTAATAAAAAGATTACAAGTTCAAATAAGTTTGGGAAATAACAACTTAAACAGATAAAAAGTTATTTACTGTAAGATTTCCTAATTTTCATTATGCATGGAAAATTCTAACAAGAGATTGTGATTTTTAAACTATCCCAAATTTAGTTGGTCACATCTTTTTCACAGAAAATCTTGTGGGATTCATGTGCTATCACACACTGGGTAATGTTGACCAAGAACCAACTTTAAAAAATTTTATTCTAGGGTGCCTGGGTGGCTCAGTCACTTAAGCATCCAACTCTTGATCTTAGCTCCAGTCTTGATCCCTGGGTCATAAGTTTAGGCCCCATACAGGCTCCACACTGAGCATGGAGCCTACTTAAAAAAAAAAAAAAAAATTGGGCGCCTGGGTGGCTCAGCAGTTGGGCATCTGCCTTTGGCTCAGGGAGTGAGGTCCTGGAGTCCTGGGATCAAGTCCCAACATCGGGCTCCCTGCATGGAGCCTGTTTCTCCTTCTGCCTGTGTCTCTGCCTCTCTCATGAATAAATAAATAAAATCTTTTAAAAAATTAGAATTCTCTTATTCTGGGGCACCTGGCTGGCTCAGTCGGTAGGGCATGTGACTCTTGATCTTGGAGTCATGAGTTCAAACCCCACATTAAGTATAGAGTTAAAAAAAAAGTTTAAAAAATTCTCTTATTCTATTATTTGTAGCTCTGTCTGCCATGAATTGGATGCCGTTTCCACTAATGATGAGGAAAAGGAGGGAAATGAAGCTGAATCTGATATCAAACATAGAACCAGAGGTACGTTAATATATTGAAGTCTCATTTCAACATGTTGCTTATATAGACATCCTTCTGTCAGTCGAGTAATTAATTCTCTTTGGATTCAGCCCAGAATGGATCAATATTTATCCTGAAACCACCAAATAATAATATATAATATCATAATATCATATGTAACATGATATCATGTTAACAAATAATATCATAGCTATGTCCATTCTTCATCAATTGCCCGGAAGGTGCTGTTGAATCCAATTTAATCAACAGATATTTACTAAGTAACATCTAAATGCCAGGATCTATACTATAAGATTAAATTGTCAATTTGTGTTGATAGTTGTTTGACTCTCACAATCTTAGGTTCAACAGCTACTTGTTTAACAACTACTATGTATACAGTTTATCTATGTATCTATGTATATAGTTTATATATCTAAACTGTGGTTGAATTATATATTCAAGATTTTGAAGGAGCTAGGGAATTTATAAATCTTCTGCTAATAGAAGCCAAATCTTTATATAACAACACCCAAGAGACACTCTATAGCCACAAAGCCAATAGAACTTCCTGTGATGATGGAAATTTAATGCACTGCTCAGTGTGGTAGTCACTAGCCACATGTGGCACAATCCACCTGAATTGTGAAAACTGGATTTTCAATTTCATTTCATTTAAAATAGCCACATGTAGCTGGTGACTATTGTAATAGTGCAGATCTGTGATCTCTGACCTTTCTTAGTCAAATGATGCTACCTTCTGTCAAAATCCAAGCTCAAATATCACTCCATTAAAAAAAAAAATCATTTCATCTATTCCAGCTCTAACATAATACCTAAACATAGTACATTTCATTATTATTAATGTTTGTAGAATGATTACAAGCATTCTGTGTAAGGTATTTGAGGGGCACCTGGGTCGCTCATTTGGTTGGGTGTCCAACTCTTGGTTTTGGCTCAGGTTACGCTCTCAGTCATGGGATCGAGCTGAGTCTGGCTCAGACTGAGCACAGTGTCTGCTTGTCCCTCTCCCTCTGCCACCGCCCCCACACTTTCTCTCTCTCTCTCAAATAAATAAATAAACCCTTTTTTAAAAATAAGTAAATAGGGGCACCTGAGTGGCTCAGTGGTTAAGCATCTGCCTTTGGCTCAGGTCACGATTCTGGGGTCCTGGGATTGAGTCCTGCATCAGATTCCCCTGCAGGGAGCCCGCTTCTCCCTCTGCCTATGTCTCTGCCTCTGTATGTCTCATGAAAAAATGAATATTTTTTTAATGTAAGTAAATAAAGTATTTAAAAAATGTCTCCAACATGAAAAATCAGAATAAACTGGAAAAAGGCACTCAGAGAAAACAGATAATGCAAGGAATAAAGAAAACCCTTATTTTTTTAAGTAATGGTTTAAATCATCTCTGTGCGCAACATGGGGCTCAAACTCACCACCCAGAGATCAAGAGTCCTATGTTCTAACTGAGCCAGCCAGGTACCCTGAAAACCTTTTTTTAAGAAATTAATATCCTGGGATCCCTGGGTGGCGCAGCGGTTTGGCGCCTGCCTTTGGCCCAGGGCGCGATCCTGGAGACCCCGGATCGAATCCCACGTCGGGCTCCCGGTGCATGGAGCCTGCTTCTCCCTCTGCCTGTGTCTCTGCCTCTCTCTCTCTCTGTGACTATCATAAATAGATAAAAATTAAAAAAAAAAAAAAAGAAATTAATATCCTCAGAGGATAAGGGAAGATAGAGTATCCATGAAGCAAGATCAGATTGCTATGAAAAGAAACAGAGAACAAAGAGGTCTTAGAAATCAGAAACATAATCCTTAGAATACAAAAATCAGTGGAAGAAAGTAATACAAAAAAGATAAAGATAAGTTTGTTGTTATTTTAAGGAGGAAAATGATAAAGGAAATCAGAAGAATGGTTCAGGAGGTCTCATACCTCCTGTTGTTTCAGAAAAACAACAAACAAGGAGGGAAAAAATATCAATTATATAGGAAACCATTGTGAAAATGGGCCCTTTATTGAAAAGGTTCAGCATAAGAAAACAAACCAGCACCAAGGCACATCATTTCGAAATCTCAAAACACTGAGAATTAAGAAAAGAGCTTTCTGATCCCTTCCTACTTGTCCCCCGCAAAAGCCACAGACCTAAGAATGGCCTCGAATTTCTAAACAATTGAAGTGTTCATTTGCTAGAAGTAGATACTGGAAAAGAAAAAGTGGTTGCCATTCAAGAGGATGGAGAGGTCAGAATTAGAGCAGGAAGCTGCTATTTTTTCCAGCCTGTTAGTACTATTTTATGCATAGATTTTATGCATAAAGATTACTTTAACACAATTTTTTAAATATTTTTTTCAATTTTTTTAATATTAATCTCTTGATAGATATCTTTTTTATTCAGATATTTTAAAGAGAAATTTTCTAATATAACTATTCAAAAATAAACTAAACTATCATTTCAAGTATTCATAAATAGTCAACAGAAGTGCTTTAGAAATGGTGGGGGGTTGGAGTAAGTGATATGTAAGTTCCCTACTATTGTTTTAGTTTCTGTGATTTGAAGCCTTTGTCCTTTTTCATACTAGTACCATTTGTTCCCACCCTTTTCCCAAATCCTGGAATATTCTCCTCTCCTCTCATTATATCTTTCTTCTTTTTCTTTTTTATTTATTTATTTTTTTAAGATTTTATTTATTTTTTTTTATTTTTATTTATGATAGTCACAGAGAGAGAGAGGCAGAGACACAGGCAGAGGAAGAAGCAGGCTCCATGCACCAGGAGCCCGACGTGGGATTCGATCCTGGGCCTCCAGGATCGCACCCCGGGCCAAAGGCAGGCGCCAAACCGCTGCGCCACCCAGGGATCCCTTAAGATTTTATTTGAGAGAGAGAGAGAGAGAGAGAAAGCACAAGCAGAGGGGAGGGGGCAGAAGGAAAGGGAGAAGCAGGAAGCCCAATGCGAGACTCAATCCCAACACCCTAAGATCATGATCCAAGCTGAAGGCAGATACTTAACTGACTGAGCCACCCAGGCACCCCTTCTTTTTCTTCTTTAAATATTTTATTTAGGGACTACCTGGGCGGCTCAGTGGTTGAGCATCTGCCTTGGGCTCAGGGTGTGATCCCAGAGTCCCAGGATAGAGTCCGACATGGGGCTTTCTGCATAGAGCCTGTTTCTCCTCCTCCTTCCAATGTCTCTGCCTCTCTCTGTCTTTCATGAATAAATAAATTCTTTTTTAAAAATAAAGATTTTATTTTTTTATTATTATTTTTTTCTTAGATTTTATTTATTTATTTAAGAGAAAGGGTGCAAGGGATCCCTGGGTGGCGCAGCAGTTTAGCACTTGCCTTTGGCCCAGGGCGCAATCCTGGAGACCCGGGATCAAGTCCCATGTCGGGCTCCCGGTGCATGGAGCCTGCTTCTCCCTCTGCCTGTGTCTCTGCCTCTCTCTCTCTCTCTCCCTGTGTGTGACTATCATAAATAAATTTAAAAAAAAAATAAAAAATAAAAAAAAGAGAGGTTGCAAGTGTGAGTTGGGGGAGGGGCAGAGGGAGAGGAAAAGAATCTCAAGCAGATTCTACACAGACTATGGAGCCTGATCCAGAGCTCAGTCATACCACTTAAATAATGACCTGAGCGGAAACCAAGAGTCAGATGCTTAACTGAGCCATCCAGGTGTCCCTAATTCTATTTTTTTTCCTAAGACCCACTTCATAGCCACCTCAGTAACCCTTTACTGATGGATTATTTGGCCTTATAATTATCAATATGCCTGTTTGGTCTTTTAATTTTATATTGTTTTCTATTACTACATACGGGACTTGTTTTTCCAGTTCATTTAAAAACTTCTTAAAACCAAAGAGTTTGGTGCTCACTTCAGCAGCACATATAGAATTTAGCATAGTACTTAATATGTAATAGGTAGTTAGTAAATATTTAAGTAATTATTGAGTGTCTATTATATATTCCACAATGGTGAAGTAAACATATAGACTTCTTTTTTTTTAAGATTTTATTTATTCATGAGAGACAGAGAGAGAGAGAGAGAGAGAGAGGCAGAGACACAGGCAGAGGGAGAAGCAGGCTCCATGCAGGGAGCCCAACGTGGAACTCGAACCCAGATCTCCAGGATCACACCCTGGGCTGAAGGCGGCACTTACCGCTGAGCCACTGGGGTTGTCCCATATGACTTATATACAAGGAGCTTAGAATCTTGAATTAAAGATTCAAAGTTTATGTGGTTGATCCCAAACCAAACTGTTTGTTATACATTTTATTATTAAAAGAAAATTCATATATAAAAGTTTAAGACAAACTATAATGTGCTTTTATAATTGCCACAGTTCAGATATTTATCCTTAATATCCTCATCAAAATTCCTTTTCTAGCCCCAAGTATGTTTATTAAATTTTTTTAAGTATAATTTTTTTCACTCTGAAATGAACCATTATGAGGAATATTCCATGCAGTCATAGCATGCTACCGAAATCCAAATCTCATCTTGTTCTCAGATTTTCTCCCCTAACAGATATTATAGATTGTGTAACTAAATAAATGAATAAGATTCTGTATTCAAAGTTTTGTTGTGTACATCTTTTAAATTTTATATAAATCAAAGAATACCTATACTTAAGTCACTGACTATAAACTTCAGTTTGTCCCCAGGTCAAATGCCCTAACTTCACATTTTTAATGTTTGCTCTGTAATAAAATTATTTATTACTGAAGCCACAATTTCTAAAGAAAGGAATATATGAGACTTAACAAAGAGCAATAGATAATGTCAGTCTAACAGTAGAAAGCCTGACTACTAAAGTAGATACGTACATGTGACTTGGATATTTTTAAGCAGCACTCTCTTAAAATACAGTAGCCACATATGGCTATCAAGCCCTTGGAAAATGTCTAGTATAAACAAGGAACTGATTTTTTTTTTAATTTTTGTGGCCTGTGTTTTGTTTTTTGGGTTTTTTTTAAATTTATTTATTTATTCATGAGACACAGAGAGAGAGAGAGAGAGAGAGAGAGAGAGAGAGAGAGAGAGAGAGAGAGGCAGAGACACAGGAGGAGGGAGAGGCAGGCTCCATGCCAGGAGCCCGATGTGGGACTCCATCCTGGGACTCCAGGATCACGCCCTGGGCCAAAGGCAGGCGCTAAACCACTGAACCACCCAGGGATCCCCAGGAACTGATATTTTTAAATTTAATTTTAATTGCTTTAAATTTTTAAAACTGATAGAGGCCTGGGTGGCTCAGTCAATGGTTAAGTGGCCAGCTCTTGATTTCAGCTCGGGTCATGATCTCAGGATCTTGGGGATAAAGCCTTGCATCAGGCTGTACACTCAGTGAGGAGGAGTCTGTTTCAGTATTCTCTCTCTCCCTCTGCCCTTTCCCTCACTTTCTTACAAGTGTGTGCACACACTCTAATATAAATAAATAAAATTTTTTAAAAAGCTTTAATGTTTAAAATTTAAAAGTTTTAATGTTTGGGAAATTTGGGTAAATGAGCCTACTTTTATACTATTTTACACTTCAAATATAAATATAAATCAAATATTTCTCATGATAATGTATCATCTAAATTGAGATGTGTACAAAATGCTAGATTTCAAAGACTATGAAAGAGAATGTAAAATATTTCAATTTTTATGGTGTATTAATATTTTAGATACACTGGATTAAATATTAAAATTAATTTTACCTTTTTAATGTGGCTACTAGAGTAGTTAAACAACACATTTATCATTATGTTGGAAGTACTGTACTAGAGAATTGTGTTGTTGGGACAGCCCGGGTGGCTCAGCAGTTTAGCGCCGCCTTCAGCCAGGGTGTGATCCTGGAAATACAGGATCGAGTCCCATGTTGGGCTCCCTGCATGGAGCCTGCTTCTCCCTCTGCCTGTGTCTCTGCCTCTCTCTGTGTGTCTCTCATGAATAAATAAATAAAATATTTTTTTAAAAAATAGAGAATTGTGTTGTTCTAGAGAATTCTTATAAGAAACTTAAAATTATGCTGTCATTGTTATTCTTGCTTCCAAAATGCTAATTACAATGCATGGCCTTTATAATTTAGATTATAAGAAGACTAGTCTAGCTCCTTATATAAAAGTTTTTGAACAGTTTCTTGAAAACCTGGATAAATCCCGAAAAGGAGAACTTCTCAAGAAGAGTGGTAAGACTCTATACCTTTCCCTTTTAGCCACTTAGATCTTAGTGTGGGAAGTTGAAAGCATCCAGCAAGTGAGTAATTTTAGAGCTCTAGCCTTTGCCCTCCTAAAATAAGTTAATAATTTAGCTTACTATCCTTGGTGTTTTAAAAATTGAGCTCCCTTAATTCAATTCAACAGATATTCATTAAACATTTCTGTGTATAGGGTAATATGAAGGAAACAAAGATTAATTACAAAAATGAATTCCACACCATGCCTCCCTGCCCTTAGGAAGTACTCACTGATAAAAACAAAAAAGTATAAAATGCTAAGAAAGATCTCATCTGATTGAGAGAACCTGAGATTTCATATGAAGAGTGGTATTTGAATGCTTTACAGTGAGCTGCTATGCAGATTCTAATTCCCAATGCCATTATACCATGCCTTGAGGTATGAGTAGGATTTCCACAAGCAGAGATTTGATAAAGGTACAGGAATGGAAAAAGGAGACAGGTTGTTCATTCTTGAAGGAATAGCAAAGGTAAAGGCATTAGACAGGAAAGCGTCAGGTAACTCTGGAGTCCATCGAGTAGTACAGCTAACCTGGAACAAAGATGTGTCAGGAAGTGATAGAATTCTGAAGAAGCAGACTAAAGCCAGAGTATCAATGGCCTTGAATTCTAGTCTTGAGAGTTTGGGCTTAATTCAACGGGGACAAGGAAGCTAGCAAAGGTTTTTGAGTAGTACCATGATTTATAGTTTTATCTAGCAAAATAAAACTAACAACAATATATCTGAGGAGAGGAAGGGGGGAGAATAGAGAGAGCAAGAGGCCAGTTGGGCTGTTCCCATTAGGACACTAGTACCGGCTATCTCCAAAAGGTGCAAATACTAGAGCCATCCTTGAGAGTTGGTAATGATTTGGAAGTAGAGATGAAAGAGGAAAGTTAGGAAAGTTAAAAGTGTCACAGAAGCCAGGGGAAAGGAAAATTTCAAGGAGATTATCAAGTGTCAAATGCAGTAGAGAACTGTTAAGATCCTGTTGGATACTGAAACTAAAAGGAGATACTAAGAGTAAGAGGACAGCAGTATCAAAGGAAAAAGTTCTTTGAATAGGAGAGATGTGAACATACGTATAAGCCAAATGAAATCAGCAGTGAATATTATTCAGGAAATTGATAGATACCATAGACAACTGTAGTAGGGTTATAGAAATACAAACTCCCTTTCCACTTCATTTTTTAATAATATGCATGATGTTTAAAGAGTAGTGCCCAAGATAATGCTGAACTCATAGTAGACACTCAAATATGTGCTTATTGAATGAACAATGATGACTCTGAACTTGGAAAGCCTCAATGAACCTGCCATTCCAACTGGCTGTGTTAAGTCCTTTGTATTCTTTTTCTGTACTAGCTCAGCCTGTAATGTAGGCTTCAGCAAATGTGAAAACAAATCTTTATGCATGATGTGAATTTAATGGAAGCATTAAGCAAATCAGAATGTGAAAATAAATGGGATTTGTCTTGTTTTCCCTTACTATCCTTTGATAAGAATCTATTCTCTTTCAGATTTACAAAAAGACTTCTGAAGATAACAACTCTCCTCAAACCAGTGTAGATATCTTCTAGCTTCAACCAAGAATCAGATATTTCAAGAGCCATTTGATAAATATTGTAGAACCATAGATGTGTCTTAATGCTCAAAGCAAAATTTCCTTTTCTTGAAAAATGATTATGTTGAAAAGATTCCTGAGACTACCAAAGGAGAGTGTCCAGCTTTCTGGAAGGAAGAATAATGGGAGAAATAAGTGGATTGCAGATACATTTGTAAAAGTTAATATCATACAAAGATAATGCGAAGATTTTTTTTATATACCTTTTACCAGTTGCCATATGTATTTTGATATACTTCTACCAGTTGCCACATGTAGGGGCAAGTGAGCAGTAATATCCCAAAGACTCTAATCTCGGCTCACTGGATACAGCCTCCTAATTAATGAACTGAATGAATATTCTAGGTGCATGAGAGCTTTGTCCTTAAGTCTTAGACACTTAATTATACCTAGAATGTGTATTTCATCACTTTTAATGTTGCTTACTGATATTTTTGTTGGTCAGCCCACACCCCACTGCCCATCTTTTAAAAATCATTTTATACTGGGCATCTAAACACACGGAAACTTCAATTCAAAAAATATGTTACTGGATTACAATAGGAGATAGTAGAGTGTTTTTTTACAACTGTTGCATTTGTAGCTACCAACTTCCTTCCTCAGAAAACAATTGGATTAGGCTGCACCATAAAGCAGCAGCTTAGAATAACCAGTTTCACTGATAAAAACTTGTTATACTTGTCAAAACACTTCCCTTTCTACATACCCAGATACTTAATTTTAAAGGTTTTTTTCTACCATATTTAATTTTTTTTTTCTGAAAATGTCAGATTTCTTTTGCCTCGTTTTACAACCAATCTAAACAAAACAGTCATTCTGGTTTACAGTCCATCTTTTGAGAAACACTGAGAAGTCAAGCTATCAGGCTGGTGCATTCTGTGATTTATGAAAATTTTCCTTCCTTTGCATTTCCTTTAACATAGTTTTCTCTATAGCCACACAGCCTTTTTTTTCTTAATCTTTTGTGTTATATATATAAAAGACTTTACAGTGCAGTCAACATATTGCAATGCCTTGCATTTCCTTCTCGTTTCTAATTTTTTTTAAGAAAAAACATTAAAAAAAAAAGAAGAAGAAGAAGAAAAAAAAAAGAAAGGGCAGCCCAGGTGGCTCAGCGGGTTTGGCACCGCCTCCAGCCCGGGGCGTGATCCCGGGGAGCCGGGATCAAGTCCCGCATCGGGCTCCCTGCATGGAGCCTGCTTCTCCCTCTGCCTGTGTCTCTTCCTCTCTCTCTCTCTCTCTCTCTGTGTGTGTGTGTCTCTATGAATAAATAAATAAAATGTTTAAAAAAAAAGAAAAAACATTAAAGACCATTGTGCAAAATTCCTCATTATTTAAGCTTCTAATTACTATATATTGTTCAGTTTTTAGGTCTGGAAAAGTGGGTCAGTTATAATTCCTGAATAAAAAATTACTAAAGACTCAGTCCATCTTAAGACTTCAGAACAAGCCTGGGTAGCTCAGTGGTTTAGCGCCGTATTCAGCCCAGGTCATGATCCTGGAGACCCATCGAGTCCCACTTTGGGCTCCCTGCATGAAGTCTGCTTCTCCCTCTGCCTGTGTCTCTATCTCTCTGTTTCTCATGAATAAACAAAATCTTAAAAAAAAAAAAAAAAAAGACCTTTGGGCAGCCCCGGTGGCGCAGCGGTTTGGCGCCGCTTGCAGCCTGGGGTGTGATCCTGGAGACCCGGGATCGAGTCCCACATCGGGCTCCCTGCATGGAGCCTGCTTCTCCCTCTGCCTCTCTCTCTGTGTCTCTATGAATAAATAAATAAAATCTTAAAAAAAAAAAAAGACTTCAGAACAAGAGTGTAAGAACTGGTATTATGCTTCAACAAGATGTTTCAAGCTTCCAAAATGTCTACCATTTAAAGTCTTTTAATGCTTTAATATTAAAGTTCTTGGATAAAGCTGAACATATTGTACTCATGTAAAAGAATAAATGTTTTTACACTGTATGCTAACTGGAATTTAAATAAAAATTAAAGGGGCGCCTGGGTGAGTCGGTTAAGCGTCTCCCTTCAGCTCAGGTCATGATACTGGTGTTCCAAGTCCCAGGACTGAGCCCCACATCAGGCTCTGTGCTCAAAGAGCCTGCTTCTCCCTCTCCCTCTGCCCCTCCCCACTCATTTTACTGGGTGTTATATGTCAGCAAATTGAATTTAAAAAAATTTTTTAAACCTAAAGGATTTTTTAAAAATAAAGTCCTTTTTTTCTAAATAAATAAATGTAGTTCTTGAAGACAGCAGAAACATGCTCAAAAACTATACTGACTTCCCTATTCTCTGATTTTACCAACTCCTACATATATGAGAATTGTAGAAACAAAGGGCACAAAACTGTCTTCCATCTCCAAACTTGCCAATTTATTAAAAAATCCAAAGAAAATACATCCTTCCTTAGTCATTCACAACAGAAGGGTCAGTGGGTTTGATTGGAAAGGAAAGGAAATGGTCAAAATATTTACTTGTCTAAGGAGATGATAAGCTATTGCTGGCCCTTTCTTCTGAAGGTAAATAGACTGTGCTGACAAATCTTCCAGATCACATATTTACTCATAAAAAGTAATACAAGGGATCCCTGGGTGGCGCAGCGGTTTGGCGCCTGCCTTTGGCCCAGGGCGCGATCCTGGAGACCCAGGATCAAGTCCCACATCGGGCTCCCTGCATGGAGCCTGCTTCTCCCTCTGCCTGTGTCTCTGCCTCTCTCTCTCTCTCTGTATGACTATCGTAAAAAAAAAAAAAAGTAATACAAGCACTTTTTAAGTAATGTACATATATTACCTAGTTTTCCTAACAATCTTATGAAGTAGTTACTATAGCCCCGTTTTATAATGAGGAAACTGAGGCACAAATGGGTTAAATCGCGAAAGGTCACTATGAGGTGACCAAGCTGTGATTCAGACAAGGAGTACGGCTACAGAGTTCATGTTTTATATATATGTTTTTTAAGTTTATTTAAGCAATCTCTACACCCCGCGTAGGGCTTAAACTCATGACCCTGAGATCAAGAGTCCTGTGTGCCCACAACTGAGGGGCCAGGCACCCCCTACAGAGTTCATGCTCTTATCACTCCGCGGTACTGCCTCTCCTACCTGAAAAAAGTTTCAGCATTTCTCATTCCCGGTAAACCCCACTATTTAATTGAATTCTAATTTACGAATCCTCACTTCACAAGTAGTTTCCAAAGCATAGTCGCTGCTTCCCTTAAAAGGCAGCCACAACGCGAACAGCGCAGGCTGGTTTCGGTAGGGTACTTGCGCCATGGCCTTTCACTAACACAAACACTGAAATTACACCCTACTGTCCAGACCCTTACCGTGTAAAGCATGATTTTCTTTTCTTATTTTAAAGATTTTATTTATTCTTGAGAGACACACAGAGAGAGAGGCAGAAACACAGGCAGAGGGAGAGAGAAACGCAGGCTCCAGGCGGGAAGCCCGATGCGGGCCTCGATCCTCGGTCTCCAGGATCAGGCCCTGAGCTGAAGGCGGCGCTAAACCGCTGAGCCACCGGGCAGCCCCTGAAGCATGATTTCTTAACGTTGAGGGCTGGGACTACTAGAATGAATAGTATCTGTTTACCTAAAAGGAGGCCAAAAAAAAGAAAAAGAAAAAAAAATAGTATCGCTCTTCCGAGGAGTGCAATCGACTAGCTTCAGCACCGGTCTAAACCGTGTACTCCAAAAGTAAAATAGCGGAGGATTAACCTAAGTCACCGCTGCCTTGCAATAATGTGACCACGATCCGTGGAACCCGGTATTATTTAGTGTCTCCTATTTCCCTGCATTCGTTGAAAAGGGGAAATGGAAAGTCACTGTATGTAGTACGGCCGCGCGGCTTCAGTGCCGAGCGCGCAGAGGCGGCTCCGTCGTCAGCTTCCCTTCGGGTGTCAAACATGCCTGGACGCGGCGGACGGGAAGGGCCGCAGAGCTCGGGGCGGCGGGTCCCGCCAGGCCGGCGCGCGGCGTTCCCAGTTCTTACCCTTATTTAGACCTCGTCCCACCTCCACACGCGAACACTCGGACGGGTCACCCGTTACCGGAAGTGACTGCGGCCGCTCCTGACCCGGAATCGCATTGTGGCCCCGCCCCCTCCGCCAGGCTTCCTCCTGCAACAGGCGTGGGTCACGCTCTCGCTCGCTCTCTTTCCGCCGCCATCTTGGTTCCGCGTTCCGCGCACAGTAAGTCCTGTCTTCGCCGCTACTCTCTATCCGCAGCCATCCGCCTTTCTTGCGGACTAAGCCGGCCCGCGGCCTGAGAGCTAAGGGCAGCCGGAGGCTCTGCAGGATGACTGTGTCCCCGCTCGGCCCAGGGAAGTGTGGCCTTGGGGCCTCCGGACAAAATGGGGTCTGTGGTTGACGTCCTGGCAAAAGCAGGGCAGGGGGCCCGCGCGCCGGACCCGCAGGCCGAGGCCGGGGAGAGGAGAGCCGCTGCGGTGTTGGGGGCGGAAGCGGAGCGCGTCTGCGGCTGGGGCCGGCCTCTCGAGACCTAAAGGAGGTTAAGGGGGTCACAGCCTGGGAACAGCCCCCCCGCGCACACGCACACGCCGTTAATTGTGGCAAGCGAGTGCGGGGACCTAAGGCGCGCGATGTCGGCCACCGGGCGTCCCGGCGGCGTGAGCGGCGGAGGGGAGGTGCTGCAGGGCAGCGTCCGAGGAGCCTCTGCCTCGGCCCGAGAACGCAGTGGCGGCTGTCGCCTTTGTGGGATGTGGAGGAACTCCCGGGCGCTAGCAGGCCGTGCCCTGCGGAGTGAAGAGAGGTAGAGGAAGGTGATCCGCTGGATCCGGGATCGGAGGCTCGCGGCTTCTTGTTTACGTATTCCTGGCTGCTGTGGGGAAGATTGTCCCCAAACACCCTGATGGTTTTGTTTGTTTGTTTTTTTCTTAACAGCCCTTCGCACAGTTTTTAAAGGATATTTGACTCTGGGTTGGGTAGCAGAACGGATCCCAGTCAATTCAGGCCTCCTTTTTATTCCCTTCAGAAATGCCTGGTGAAGCCACAGAAACCGTCCCTGCTACAGAGCAGGAGTTGCCACAGCCCCAGGCTGAGACAGGTAGGCCCCCCCCTTACTGTGCATTGAAATGTACGATTGACCCTAAGAGCATTCGGTGGGTAAAACGAGGTCTTTGAGGGTTAACTCTTTGACGATGGCTGTAGCTTTACCAGGGAGGAGAATCCATGGTATTAACTGCTGTCCTGGAGGGACTTAATTAGGGAATGGAATATAAACCGTATATTTAAGATCCAGGAGCATTAAAAGCTCCCTGGCCTGCTTTGTAGTGTATGGCAACTGCCTCACAGACTGTTCTGCGGAACCAACCCTCAACCCACAGAGAAAAACCGAGCGGGGAAGGGGCTTGGTGATTCTTACCTATTGGAACTGGATGACACACTTGCAGGCCAAGGAGACCTGAGCTTTTGTGAAGTTCCAGCCAGCAAGTTGCATCAAGGTTTTAGATGGCAGAGTTTGGCACTGTGCCTTCATCACATGTCTGGATGAGATGTGTGCTGGTGGTAAACGTGCCCCGCTGGGCCCCCCGCCCTCCTAGGTTGGTTAACTCACTTTATGGGTTGGTGCTAAGATGTTTCTAGTGTGCTGGAATAGTGCCTGCATCAGCAGCTTGCCTGGAACCCAAAATTGAAATAAGGCTTTTCCTTTGACTGCTCTTCAGCTTTGAAATTGATTGATGTAAACGTAGTGTAAAGGCAAGTCTTGAATTCTGGTTAAAATACTTCTCTAGAAAACTTGAGAGGTATTGAAAAATATTTAATGATATTCTTGCTGCGTCAGTTGTGTTGAAATAAATCTTCAGGCTGTAACTTCCATGCTCATTTTTTCTTAATACAAAATTTTTTTTAAACTCCACCTGTCACTTAAGGGCAATTTCTTTCTTCTTCTGGAATTAAAATAGAGTTGTTTATAGTTGAAAGCATTGAGGTTCTCTCTCCCCACCTGTCTGATTTTAGCAGCTGAAGGGATTAATACAGCTGCTAGAAAAGAGAGGGGGCCTCTAAGCTAGTGAACAAGCTATATGACATCCTTAAAGTTCAAGGGACTTAACAGAAGGAGAAAATAAAGGACTGGTCTCTAAAGATCCTGTAATTCAGTGCTAACCAGAGCCTTATTGAACAATTTGGTTTTACAAATGTGGAGACTGAAATTCAGATGAATGTAGAATAATCTGGTTTCAAGCCTCAAAACAAATGCCATTTGCTTTTGAAGTCATTCTTAGTGCTGTTAAGTTTGTTTCTGAATAGTTTGAGCTTGCACAATAGATTTTGTAATACTAAGGGAGTGCCAGTGGTAAAACATTGAATTTTTTCTATAATTACAACAAATGCGAAAACTAGCCGGGGGAATTGGTTATGGTGTCTAAAGCAAGAAAATTGGGCCTTATCCTATTTTGAACTCTAGTCAGAAGAAACATTCTAAGTTTCAAATTGTGATTAATATGTTTGGAGGCATTTGCACCCTAATCCTAAGACTTTGATCTACCTACTCTCCGGGAAAAACTGATTGGGCCACTTGTCTTTTCTCTAACAATTTCAGGATTACTGGTTGAATAAATTGTGAATTTTTATCATTCAGAAAATCTTTTGCTGAGCTTTACTGTAGTGGAGAACATTGGTCTATTTTGGCAGGATGACATACTTATCCAGATTAAGGGGTGGAGAGCCAATATATTCTCCACTCCAATTCCCTACTTCCAAAATAGAACCACAGTCTGGTTTAACAAGTTGGGCTACGGTTTCATAATAGAGTCCCTACCCTTGTGACTAAACTCTCTCCCTGGCAGTCTGATTCATCTTAAATTGATGTCTGAAGAGCTAACTATACTACTAGGAGAGTGTGTAGGTAGAGATTATGAAGTACACCCCATTTGTGGTTGAGTTGGAGTTTTTTTGTTTGCTTGCTTGCTTGTTTGTTTTAGGGGAGTAGGTAAACAGGCACAGGGAGGCAAAGTGACTTAGTATTTAATAGTTCATATAGAATTGTACGTCGACGCCACCTTCCTAAAAGTTTATTCTACGAGTCAGATTTTTCTTGACCTAGTAAAAGCCTGAGCATATAAAGACTTAGGTTTGTTTGTTGTTTCATTCATGTCCAACTCCCATCATCACCAGTCCCTACTTTCCTTATTCCAGTTTTCAATATGTGGTTTCAGTTTGTCATCCTTGACAGTAGAGCAGCTATCCTAGTGGTATTCTATGGCCTGAAGAGAGACTTTGGGTTTGTTCAAGGAGGGAAGGGAGGGCACATCTGACAAAGGGTGGAAAGCATGGTATTCCCAACCCACTCCTAGGCCTGGTGCTCCCCGTTTAGAGACTAATAGGCTGCTTAGACTGTTATCTCCACCTTTAAAATAGTTTGCTTCTTTTTGGTAGAACTTGGGAAATGTGGGAGATGGAGAGAGGGATGTATTCTTATTCACCCATTGAAGTATGTTTGGGGAGGTTGCTGTTGCCTGTCACCTTTGTCTAATCCTGTGTGGTGACTTTCATTCTCAGATTAAAAATTCCGTGTTTCCTATGAGGCATGTTGTACCAAGTTGGGCTGCATAACTCACCTTTGTTTTTTTCCTTCCCTTTTTTATTCCCCTTTTTGCTTTTCTCCTCCAGCTGTGCTTCCTGTGTCTTCAGCCTTGAGTGTCACTGCTGCCTTAGGGCAGTCTGAACCTACCCTTCCCCCTCCTTGTTCCCTGGCCCCCCAGCAATGCCCTCTGGCAACCCCTAACCAGCCTTCCCCATTCCCTTCTCCCTCTGGTGTTGTCTCAACCCCTTTGGAAGCTCCTTTTCCCCAGTCATCCTCTGGGACAGCCCTGCCTTTGGGAGTTGCCCATTCCCCCACTGACACCCCAGCTTTCCTACCCAACCTAAGAGGGCCTCCCATCTCCCCAGCTGCCTTAGCTCTGGCCTCTCCCATGATAACTCCGACAATGAAAGGTGCCCATTCCTCTTCAGCTCCCTTGGCGCTGGTGGCCTTGGCTCCCCACTCAGTTCAAAAGAGTTCTGCTTATCCACTTAACCCTCTTAGTTCTCCTCCTTTGATTGCTGTGGTTGAGTCTGGGTCAGTGACATCTCTGTCCCCTCCCATTGCTTTCTTAGATCCAAAGACCTGTCCTATTCAAGCTCCCTTGCAAGTAGACCCTAATCCAAAAGGCACTCCCATCCCTCCAGGTATAGTCAGTACTGTACCTTCCCATCTTGGAACTCCCTTGGCCTCTGTTCAGTCTGGAGTAGCCTCATGTCCTCAGATGCCACCCATCACTCCTCCTCAGTTCAAAGACATCCCTGTTTCCTCAGCTCTGACTTCTCCACAAAACCCTGAAAGCCTCAGCCTAAAGGGACCCCTTAGTTCACCTGCTGTGTTATCTCTTTCAACTCAGTCTCTATCTGTGGCTCCTAGTATCCCTCCAGTTTCCCTCACTTCTCCAGGCTCTCATCTTACACCTTTACATCAGAGTTCTCTTGGTTCTCCTCTTCAGACCTTAGGTCAAACAGGCCCTAATGTTTTGTCAAATCCTAAAGTGGATGCCATTTCTGCAGATCATTCTCCCATAGGGGCCTCTTATCCTTCTCAGAGATCTGTAATTCCTCCACTGCCTTCTAGAAATGAGGTGGCTCCTGCTGCTATGGCTACTTTTCCAGTGGGGGCTTCAGCTTCCCCTCTGGCTCTTTCTGTTGACAAAGATCCCTCTGCCATCATTGACATAGCCTCCTTTTCTGGCTCAAGTGTAGATACCTCTTCTCCATTATCTCCTACAGGCTCTGTCATTCTCAAAGGCTCTCCTAATGTCACTCATCCTCAGCCTTTGGTGACCCAAATTCCTCCTCCAGGGAGTCCAAGCTTGAAAGAAACTTCTGTTTGTTCTGTTGCAACCACCCCATTTGTTATGACTAACCCCTCTAAAATTTCTGCAGCACCTACTACCTTTGAAGTAACTACTTGTGTGTCTCCTCCAACTTCATCAGGTCCCATAAGTAATAAGGACTCAGCTTCCCACGCTGCCTTGGTTATGGCTCCTATGGCTCCCAAAGAACTTTCTATTCCTCAAGTGACCCCTCTGGGAATACCAGTCTCTCCTCTGTCAGCCCCTGAGAACCCCAAAAGTCTCCCTGCATCAGCCTTGGTAAAGTTACCAACACAAAAAGATCTCCAAACTGTACCTCTCTCTGCTATTGGAACCCCTGCTTCACCAGCCCAGGCAGGACTTCCTACCAAGAAAGACTCTACTCTAATACCACTGGCCCTGGTAGCCCCTAAAAATCCCCCTGCTCCCCAAAGTATATCATCATCTCTGGAGAGAACTCTTTCTCCTGAAGCCACCTTAGCAAAGAGAAGCCTTGTAGAGCCTCTCTCTGTAGTTACACAAGCCAGTACTGCTCCCTCTCCTCTGGATGTTAATTCTCCAACCTCTGTAATTAAGACAGATCCTTGTTCAAGCCCAGACTCCTCTAGTCTGCTTCTCAAAAGTTCTCTCACTATCCCAGCCGTAGTTACATTTCCTTTGGAACATGATGCCACTGTTGGGGTGGTCCCTACAATTACCAAAGATGCCTCCGCTCCTACCGCTAAAGCCAGCCCTAATCTAGGAGATGTCTCTTTAGCTCATAAAAGCCATCCAGATAAGAAGGGTAGTTCCACTCTTTCTGTTTTACCTTTGGTTCCTCCAGCCTCGGAAAGTTGCCCTGTGGCTTCAGCTGTGACTTTATCCTCCCAGAATGTTTCTGCTTTTTCAGCTGCCGTGGCACTAGCCCCTGAAATTCCCAAGTCTGAGCCCTTTCCCTCTCTTCCTCATGGTACAAAGAAAGTTCATGGTATTTCTCAAACCTCAGCATTGGCACCTGTGGCTTCCTCTCCTGAAAGGCACCCAACTAAGGACTCTGGTCTTTCTGTTAATGCATCTTCTCAAGGAACTTACTTAGGTGACTCCTCATCTCCTTTAGGGACTAAGGTGTCTCCTCAAACTAAAAGACGTCCAACCAAGAAGGGTTCAGCTCCTACTACCTTAACTCTTTCTCCTTCTCTTTCTAAAAGTGTTCCTGCTATCCCTGATACTCCTGCTGGAAATCACTCATCATCCCCTGTTTCTCCGGTTGAAGCTTCCTTTCTTCCAGAGGCCAATCTTTCCCTTCAAGCCCCTAAAGGGTCACTGGCCAAGAAGCATTCACCCACTCCATCCCCTAGAGAGACCTCAGATACCCCATCTCCCAAAGAGGCCTCCATTCCTCCAGCTGTGGTTCCTTCCTCCCCCAAAGGAGCCCCAGCAACCTCATCCCCCAAAAAGGCCCAAGCGGCTCCAGCCCCCAAAAGAGGCCCAGCTACTTCATCTCCCAAAGGGACCCCTACTGCCCCAGCAGTGACTCCTCCCTCCCCCAAAGAGTCTCAAGCAACTCTAGCCCCCAAAAGAACCCCAGCTAACCCACCTCCCAAAGGGACCTCCACTGCCCCAGCAGTAGCTTCTCCTTGCCCCAAAGGGGGCCCCACAGCCCCATCCCCAGAAAAGACCTCCACTTCCTCAGCTGTGGCTCCTTCCTCCCCTAAAGAGTCTCCAGATACCCAGTCTCCCAGAGGGGCCCCCACTGCCCTAGCTGTGGCTCCGCCTTCCCCCAAAGGTGGTCTAGCAACCCCATCCCCAAAAGAGACCTCCACTCCCTCGATTGTGGCTCCTTCCTCGCCCAAAGACTCTCAAGCAACTCCAGCCCCAAAAAGAACCCCAGCTACTCCACCTCCCAAAGAGGCCCCCACTGCCCCAGCTGTGGGTCCTCCTTCCCCCAAAGGAGGCCCAGCAACCCCATCCCCTAAAGAAACCTCTACTCCCTCAAGTGTGGCTCCTTCCTCCCCCCAAAAGTCTCCAGCTACCCATCCTCCCAGTGGGGCCACCACGCCTCAAGCTGTACCTCCTTCTTCCCCCAAAGAGTCTCAAGCAACTCCAGCCTCCAAAAAAATCCCAGCTACCCCACCTCCCAAAGGGGGCCCAGCAACTCCATCCCTTAAAGAGATTTCCACTCCCCCAGCTATGACTCCTTCCTCCCCCAAAAAATCCCCAACTACCCAGTCTCCCAAAGGGGCTCCCACCCCCCAAACTGTGGCTCCTCCCTCCAAAGAGTCCCAAACAATTCCAGACCCCCAAAGAGCCCCAGCTACTCCACCTCCCAAAGGGGGCCCAGCAACCCCATCCCCTAAAGAGACCTCTACTTCCCAAGCTATGGCTCCTTCCTCTCCCAAAGAGTCCCAAGCAACTTCAGCCCCCAAAAGAGCCCCAGCTAACCCACCTCTCAAAGGGGCCTCCACTGCCCCAGCTGTGGCTCCTCCCTCCCCCAAAAAGCCCCAAGCAACTCCAACCCCCAAAAGAACACCAGCAGCTCCATCTCCCAAAGGGGGCCAAGCAACCTCATCCCCTAAAGAGACCACCATTCCTCCACCTGTAGCTCCTCCCTCCCCCAAAGAGTCTCAGGCAACTCCAGCCTCCAAAAAAGCCCCAGTTACTCCACCTCCCAAAGGGGCCCCCACTGCCCCTGCTGTGGCTCCTCCTTCTTCCAAAGGGGGCTCGGCAGCCTCATCCCCTAAAGAGACATCCACCCCTTCATCAGTAGCTCTTTCATCCCCTAAAGAGTCTCCAGCTAACCAACCTCCAAAAGGGGCCCCCATTCCCCCAGCAATGACTCCTTCAAAAAAAGCCCCAGCTACTCCACCTCCCAAAGGGGCCCCCAATGCCCCAGCTGTGGCTCCTCCTTCTCCCAAAGGGGGCTCGGCAGCCCCATCCCCTAAAGAGACATCCACCCCTTCATCAGTAGCTCCTTCCTCCCCCAAAGAGTCTCCAGCTAACCAGCCTCCCAGAGGGGCCCCCATTCCCCCAGCAATGACTCCTTCAAAAAAAGCCCCAGCTACTCCACCTCCCAAAGGGACCCCCACTGCCCCAGCTGTGGCTCCTCCTTCTCCCAAAGGGGGCTCGGCAGCCTCATCCCCTAAAGAGACATCCACCCCTTCATCAGTAGCTCCTTCCTCCCCCAAAGAGTCTCCAGCTAACCAACCTCCCAAAGGGGCCCCCATTCCCCCAGCAATGACTCCTTCAAAAAAAGCCCCAGCTACTCCACCTCCCAAAGGGGTTCCCCCTCCCTCAACTGTGGCTCTTTCCTCCCACAAAGAGTCTCTGGCAACTTCAGCCCCCAAAGGGGCCCCAGCAACCCCATCTCCCAAGGGGGCCTCCGTTCCCCCAGCTGTGGCTCCATCCTCTAAAGGAACCCCATCCTCCAAAGCTGCCTCAGCAACTCCATCCCCCAAGAGAGCCCCAGCTACCCCATCCAAAGATGCCCCCACTTCCTCATCTGAGATTCCTCCCTCACCCAAAGAGGCCCCTACGTCTCCAGTTTCAGTCACATGTCCCTTGGGGTCCGTTGCCCCTCAGGCTTCTAAAGGCCTACCAGTAAAGAAAGGCTCTACAGCTCCCTCTGAGAAAGGTCTCCTGGCCAAGAAGAATTCTGCTTCACCTCCTGTGTGCCCAGATCCTTCGGCTAAGAATGGTACTAAAGGACCCCTTTCTACAGAGACAGTTTCTGCTCAAAAAGTCTCTTCAAAGACTCCCAAAACCCTCCCTGTTTCTCCATTAAAAAGCAAAGATTCTTTTCATTCCCCAAAAAGCCCTTTGGCTCTTCCTCCTGAGTCTGTGACGTCTCCTCCTCTAGCAACAGTTTCCTCTGAGAAAGTCCTTTCCAAAGCTGGATCAGCACCTGTCTCTCCAGCACCCACCCCATCAGTCTCTCTGCCTCTCGCTCCCTCCCCAGTCCCCCCTCTGCTTCCTAAACAGCAATTTCTGCCGTCCTCACCTGGGCTGGTGCTGGAATCACCCTGTAAGCCCTCAGCCCCTGCTGATGAGGATGAGCTGCCGCCTCTGATTCCCCCGGAACCAATCTCGGGGGGAGTGCCTTTCCAGTCGGTCCTCGTCAACATGCCCACCCCCAAACCTGCTGGGATCCCTGCCCTAACCCCCTCTGCCAAGCAGCCTGTTCTGAAGAACAACAAGGGTATTTGCCTTGGTTTGCTGTGTGCATGGTGTGTCGCCCACACCCCTCCTGGGGCTACCCACCAATACTAACCCTAGGATGCGCCGCTTTCTCCAGTATATCTGCTTGTGTTTGGACATAGAACATAGAGTGATAATTTTAAATGCAAAAGCTCTAGGAATGTGTAACAATCTTGGTTTTCATCACCTCAGATAGTCTGTTTTGTATCATCATCTATAATACAGTCCAAGCTAACTACGAATCTGCTATCTTTTCTACCTAAATGATCTGACATTGAAAACCAAGACCTATTAGGCCTTTTAATTTGCTCTAATCTCTACCACATAACTAACCTTGTCCCTGGGCCTGGGATTTGCTAAAATGTTGGGAAATATGGAACTACTTGAATTTCTTTTCACATCTTCGATTTAGTAATGACCAGTGCCCAAGGGACTTCCTTTTCAAGACTTTTTTCCTAGCCTGAGAATGGTGCAGGTGTATGCTTTTTTTCTCTCAGTAGTCTTTATTGATGCTTGGCCTTGTGATTGAGGTAAATGTAAAATATGTAAATTATATTTGGAAGAAATGGGAGAGGTCACAGGATAGGCTCTAACAGAGGTGACTGTTAGAATTGTAGGTTGGCAATCATTGAAAATCATCAAGTTATATTGATGAAACCAAATTGCTAGGGTAAGTAGTTTGAAAGTAAAGCTGAATGTGTGTACACAACTGCTTCTGGCCTTCCCCAACCCAATATAAAGGATGAAGGGAAAGTGTCCTCCCTGGTCTACTTCCACAATGTGATCTTATTTATCTGGAGATACCTTGTCTGCTAGAACCTTTGGGGGGTGGTTGGGCTGTTGGGTAGAATTTGGAGTTATATAGGTCATTGGTATTGGCGTGTGCCAAGTGAAGACCGAGAGAAAGGAAGCAGTTACAGTTGATAAACTGCTTGGCTGTAACTAGTAATCACCTCCTATTTCTGGGGCTAGGTCTTTAATGGATGTGTACACACTAGTTTGGCTAAGTTGGAGGCTGTCAGGCTGGCTTCACACAAGTCAGTTGGTTTACATTTAACTTTGTGAGGTCTAGCATAAGCCAGTGACCTCTAATCCAGGCAGGCTGTGGTGAGGTGCCTCCTCCTTATAATCTATTATAAAATAATAAAAGTTATTTGTCATCTCAGGGTCTGGAACAGAATCTGACAGTGATGAATCAGTACCAGAACTTGAGGAACAGGATTCCACACAAGCAACCACACAACAAGCCCAGGTGGGTATTCTCTTACTTGCTGGTCAAAGTACTTGAGTCAAGGAAGCATTGGAAAACGAGGGTTGAGAGCTGACTTAAATATTAGGAAATGTGAACCTTAATAAACGGAAAACCTCATGGGGATTCTGTTATCCAGGCCTTATATTCCAGTTTACTCATAGCTGTTTTATCTTCTTAGCTGGCAGCAGCAGCTGAAATCGATGAAGAACCAGTCAGTAAAGCAAAACAGAGCCGGAGTGAAAAGAAGGCACGAAAGGTAAGATTTTTTAAGTTACAAACAATGATTAAAAGTTCTGATGAAGGGATCCCTGGGTGGCGCGGCGGTTTGGCGCCTGCCTTTGGCCCAGGGCGCGATCCTGGAGACCCAGGATCGAATCCCACGTCGGGTTCCCGGTGCATGGAGCCTGCTTCTCCCTCTGCCTGTGTCTCTGCCTCTCTCTCTCTCTGTGTGTGTGTGTGTGTGTGTGTGTGTAACTATCATAAATAAATAAAAATTAAAAAAAAAAAAGTTCTGATGAACCAGCTTTAGAGAGGAGGAACCATAGTAGTAAAATCATACCTAAAGTGATAGAAATTAGTATGGCAAAAAAAAAAAAAAAAAAAAAAAAAACAGGAGTCCTGAAAACCAATTCAGTATTATATAAAGTTAGCCTAGGAAAAGGCTTTGCTTTGGATGTAGTTATTACTATGTTCTTTACTTTCTAAAGCTACTTCTCTTTTTTTTTTTAAATATTTTACTTTATTTACTCATTTATGTGAAAGCGAGAGCTCACACACGAGCAGGTGGAGGGGCAGAGGGAGAAGCAGACTCCCCACCAAGCGCAGAGCCTGAAGCGGAGCTTGATCTCATAACCCTGAGATCATGACCTAACCTGAAATCAAGAGTTGGACATGCAACCATCTGAGCTACCCATATCCCCCTCTGAATCTGCTTCTAGAGAAGTTAAAAATCTGATGTTCTTTTCTATTCCTTAGGCTATGTCCAAACTGGGTCTTCGACAGGTTACAGGGGTTACAAGAGTCACTATCCGGAAATCTAAGAATATCCTGTTTGTCATCACAAAACCAGATGTCTACAAGAGCCCAGCTTCAGATACCTACATAGTTTTTGGGGAAGCCAAGGTAAAGAAAGTTTTCTTGGATGTGCTCTAGACCACGGTTTCTCAACCTTAGCCCTATTGATACTCCGTTGGATAATTCTTTGGTGTGGAATTTGGGGTCAGATAATTCTTTATTGTAGAAAAGCTTTCCTGAGTGTTAGAGATGTTTAGCAGCATCCTACCCAGTTGTGATAACCAAAAAAAAGATCTCAAGATATTGATGTCCCTTGGTGACAAAACCACCTCCTGGTTGTATACCACTGCTTTAGACCTAATCGAGCCCGAGACTCCAGAATCACACCCTGGGCCGAAGGAGACACTCAACCGCTGAGCCCCCCCCAACCGTCCCTAAACTACTTCTCTTTGTACAGTGATCTATAATCTTGGTGAGGGCAAGCATTTAAAGCTATATAGTAAGTTAACCTGAAATGGTTTTAGAGTGAGAGGTTAGAAAAGATAAAAATGATGTATTTCATTTACTGCAGACTGATCTATTTACATAAATCTGTATTTTCTGCCCTATAGATTGAGGACTTATCTCAGCAAGCACAGCTAGCAGCTGCTGAGAAATTCAAAGTTCAAGGTGAAGCTGTCTCAAACATTCAAGAAAACACACAGACTCCAACTGTACAAGAGGAGAGTGAAGAAGAAGAGGTATATAGGGAAATCTTTTATACTTTTCATCCTCTCCAGATAGTAGTATGTTTGTATTGATGAGTGGATTTTGTATTGCTTTAGACTATCTAATTCAATGGAGTTCAGTAGTTTCTGAATTATATTATCTAGGTTCAAGAGACTCCTGACTCCAAAGAACTACTGGAATTGTTCTTGGCCTTTAATTTATTATTATTTTTTTTTCCCTCTCTTAGGTTGATGAAACGGGTGTAGAGGTTAAGGACATAGAATTGGTCATGTCACAAGCAAATGTGTCAAGAGCAAAGGCAGTCCGAGCCCTGAAGAACAACAGTAATGATATTGTAAATGCTATTATGGTAAGTGTCCAAACCTTTATTCCTTGACTTCTGCCCCGACCAGTTATGGGTGACTTTATTTTCTCTGTTTAATATTAGCCAGTTAGGAAGCTTCATCAAAAAAAAAAAAAAACAAAAACAAAAAAAAGCTTCATCCCGAAGCCTATTCTGAGTTACTTCATATTTTAATGGCCTGAATTCTCAATTTGCTTATTACTACTACTAATGATCTCTTTTCTTACAGGAATTAACAATGTAACCGTATGAAAACGAGGACTTTTTTTGGTGTTTCAAAAGAATAACTACAGCTTGGTTTGAAATTTGTACTGTTTCTATCATTAATAAAGTTATGGCTTCTTGTTGGATGAACTCCATGGGTGCTTGGTCTCTTCCCCCCTCCCCCCACTCCACCCCCCAAAAAAACCATGAAGGTTCTAGAATGAAAAATCCATAATTACTCTTCAGACCTCAGCTTTATTTGAAAAGGTTTAAAGCCACATATTCCCCACTTAAAATCTCAGTCTTTTTGACTCTTGTAAGAAGATGCTATATTAGGCTGTTAGGACTGTCTTGTCTTCAGAGAATACAACTTACATGTAAAGTTTCTCCTTTCCATTTTCTTTCCCAGGTGTTAACTGTTAGCAAATCCTGATTCTTCTTTTTTTTTTTTTTTTTTAAGATTTATTTATTTTTTCATTCAAAGAGAGCAAAGAGAGAGGCAGAGACACAGGCAGAGGGAGAAGCAGGCTCCATGCAGGAAGCCCCAGTGAGACTCGATCTCGGGACTCCAGGATCACACCCCAGGCTGCAGGCAGCGCTAAACCGCTGCGCCACCGGGGCTGCCCGTGATTCTTCTATATTTGATAATCATCAGCCTCTTTTTTGGCCTACAATCTTTTTTTTTTCTTTTTTCTCTTTTTTTCTCTTTTTTTTTTTTTTTAAGATTTTTATTTCTTTATTCATGAGAGACAGAGAGGCAGAGACACAGGCAGAGGGAGAAGCAGGCTCCCTGTAGGGAGCCCGATGTGAGACTTGATCCCGATACTCCAGGATCACACCATGAGCCAAAGGCAGATGCTCTCAACCACTTCTTTTTGGCCCAAAATCAGGTGGCCCACAATCTTTTTGAATATATATATTGGCCTTTGAGAAGTTCATACTGATTACATCTTGATACGTAAAAGCTTGATACAGGGCTTAGAGGGAACATAATGGATGTAGATGAAAAGACTAAAAAGGTACCTCATGAAGGGAGTTTTTGACTGTTGTATACAGTGCAAATCCTCTGCTCTCATTATACAGACATTTTAATGTACAGAATAAATTATAATTAGAGTAGCCATAATTTATGCTAAGACAGTGAGTGGAGACCAGGTAAATTAATACATAATTAGCCAGTATATGAAAAATACACCTAACTCCATAGAAGTCCTATGAAGAGTAAAGCTTCTGAGTTTGAATTGTTAGAAAATGGTTTGGGGGAAAAGCCGAGGACTGAAATTTGGAAATAGGAAGGCTTAAAAGTAAATTTAGAGATATGGGAGATTAACATGGTGGAAGGCTTTGGGAACGAAACTTTAGACATTTATATTACTGTTCAATTTTTTTTTTTTTTTTTTAGTTATGTAGGATTCTTCACCCAACATGGGGCTTGTACTCCCAACCCTGAGGTCAAGAGTTGTATGCTCCTCTGACTGAGCCAGTCAGGTGCCCCTTGAATTCAGTCTTCTTGATTCCTAAGAGTAGATACTTTAACAGATGTGAGTGAAAGCTGAGGGCCAAAGAAGTTAAATGACTTCCTCGAAAGACAGCCACTGAGTAGTAGTGTCTTTTCATTGCGGTAGGCTATATTTGTAAGAAGTCGTAAGCTGTACTGAAGAACCACAAATTGATATCTCACTAAGAACGGTGACCTTCCATTTACTGGGGTAGAAGAGTTCATTTGCTCAACGAAAGTCTCATGAGGCTGAAGATAGGCCCCTTGGTTGCCAAATCTGACTTAGCTCTGTAATTCTCGTTTCAGAAAGAAATTCAGGGATATTAACTCCTAGTTCCCTCACCTTTCCCTCTCTACAGTGTTAACTGCCAATTCTTGGTTACTTTTAGAGAAGTATCTTGTTCAAGGCTATTACTGCCACTAGTGCTATATAGTGCTTTCTTCCCATCTCAAGAACCTGTTATCGCTACTTTTTTCTTCAACCATTATTTCCTTCCCTTCAAGCATTTTTTTTCCACCACACTTGAAATGTATCACTAACATTCTCTATCATAGAATGATCAATTTTTTTTTCGAATTTTTGGTTCTTAAGTTAGGGAATATAGAGTTTGTTTTAAGATTGTTTTATTTATTTATGAGAGACAGAGAGGCAGAGGGAGAAGCGGGCTCCATGCAGGGAGCCTGTTGTGGAACTTGATCCCAGGACCCCAGGATCACGCCCTGGGCCGAAGGCAGGTGCTAAACAGTGAGCTACCCAGGGATCCCCTCTTTCCTGGTTCTTAAAATGATTAAGTCTCTGTTCAAATAGTAAACAGACCTTTTTTTTTTTTTTTGCCTGAGACACAGGCAGAGGGAGAAGCAGGCTCCATGCAGAGAGCCCAACCTGGGACTCGATCCCGGGAATCCAGGATCAGGCCCTGAGCCAAAGGCAGACGCTCAACCACTGAGCCACCCAGGCGTTCCAACAGATATATTTTAAGTAACCTCTGACTTCATCTGTTAAAGGGAATAAAAACAAACTGATATTTCCAAAACATGTATAGGATTGTTAGATCCCACTGGTTATTTACTGAATGACCCTTCTGATTTATAAAGGAAAAGATGAAGAAAACAAA